AAAGTAAAGGAGTAGTCAAGCATAAAGTGAGCAATCAGTTAAGTTACAAAACCTATGACGAGACATTGAATAGAAACTGTAAAGAAGAAGTCAGTTTTAACACGATCAGAAGTAAAAACCATCAAATCTATAGCATTAATCAAACTAAATATGTTTTAAGCAACTACGATAATAAACGCTACTGGTATTCAGATTTTGAAAGCCTCCCGTTTGGACATTATGCCATAAAATATCTACTTAACGAAAAGATGATTCAAGATATATGGATAAACATAGACGTGAACAGATATGAAAACGGACAAATTTATAAGATAGTTGATGTTGGTTAAAATAAATGCTACATCGATTCAACAACTGAAAAACTAAGTCAAAGAATGGCAAAACATAGAAGAGATTATAAATCTTATCTAAATAATAGAAATCCCCCAAAACACTATCCTAACTCTATGAAATCGTTTGATGAGTTCGGTGTTGAAAACCGTAAAATAGTTCTTATTGAAGAATACCCATGCCAAAACAGAAAGCAACCCGAAAAGAAAGAAGGTGAATATATTGAAAATGATAAGAACTGTCTTAGCAAATGTATTGTTGGTAGGACTAGAAAGGAAAATTGCGATGCCACAAGAGAGCATCACCTCGAACAAAAAAAAAGAAAGAAGCAGACAAACAGCATCACGATAACAATAAAGGGAAAATTCATGAAAAAAAGAAACGCTGCAAAATTGAGGACACATGTTGTAACAAAAATTAAAGGTATAGAGAAGGGAACAGGGAAGCAATAAGACAACAACAAAAGAGAGATACAAAAGAAGAGAAAGGCGAAAACAGAAGAACAAAAACAGTTACTAATCAACCAAAAGTAGTTCATGCCTATTATATCTTTTACTCATTCCATCTAGTTTATAGTATCTATTATTCATCATATCACGACCAACTAGTATTACTTTATACTTTCTTTCACTCCATCGATTTCTGGTTTCTTTCCTTGATACATAGTTGCCCTTTCCTTTATCAAATATCTTAACATAATCTCCTTCACTTACGTTTGGATATTTTCTGTTGTGCTTTTCTTTCAGTATCAGATTTGTTCTGACCTGAATTACGTTATCAAGATTGTGCGCATTCTTAGGTGTTGTCTTGGTGCTACCGTGGATTTGGTTGTTGTATCTATTCAACGATGGCTTTAGCACTTCCACCCATGTTTTGGTTTTGTAATGCCTCAATCTGTCCCCAATCATATTTTTGACCGTGCGTATCATCCTTTCTGCCTGATTTGCATGCGTCTTTGTTATTACGTGCGTTATACCTTCCTCCTGAAAAATGTTTGCAGTTTCTTGCTGTTCAACGCTCCCTCGTCGTCACTGTAAATCGACAAAGGCTGACCTAATACCTTGAAACACTCCATGACTGCTTTATAAACGTCATCACCATCTTTTTTCTCGATAGGGACTATGTGACATTTTTTGCTGAATATATCTATGAAAAAAAAACCATATCTTAGTTGACTTTTGATTTCAGAACCTACGTCTCGCAGCAAACTGGTGACATCCATCAAGTCAATTTGGAATTCATACTTGGGAAACGGAGCAGTGTAGGAATTGTACATATTGTATGTATATTTTTTTTCTCGATTTCGGAAGATGTTTTTATTCTATGTATAGATTTTTTTTCCGATTCCGGAAGCTTTTTTTGAGGCCGAAATTTTCGGTTCTATATCTTATGTATCCCATCATGATTATACATGTATAATAAAGTATATATAATTATATATATATACATCAGTATATATTTTTATGAATTGTGATTCCAAACAGTTCACAGCAGTGGCAGTGTGTCGACTGTTCCGCGCGTCGGTCCAGGCCAAGTACAGCTACCACTCGAGATTTGAAGCACCTCGGCGGACCTGCGACAGGTTTATACATGGGGAATCATCCGAATACAGCCTGAAAATGTCTAACTTAGAGTGAATTGTTGTAATTTACCCAACATGTATATGAATATTGAGTGAATTATTCTAATTTACCCAAGATGTATATGAATATGAATCTAGGAAATATCTTACAAAGCGCTGGATTCTTGAACGCTTCTTTGCGTTTCTTCATTCGATTGTATAGATTTGCATTTGCAATCTCAGCCGTCCAGCTGCATTACCAGCAATTTCCGCCACGGTTTCTCAATATTAATCACCAATTTGTTGATTGAAATTGCTATTTGGGATAGCACTTGTCTTTTTGAAACAACCCCAGATGCACCCATACCCTGCAACAGAGTCAGGTCGCATATCTATCCCCGGCCGGAGCGCTCAAAGCGCTGAGGGAGGTGGGGTGCGGACAAATATGGGGATGGAAAGGCCAGAAACCGACCGGAAAGGAACCAGCACCAGGTTCTGGGCTTCTGTCGCAGGAACGGGAGCCCGAAGACTTCAGAGATTTTGATCTAGATTGGATGCGCTGCGGAATCACAGGTTCCATTGAGACTTGGGCCGGGCGCATGAGGGTCCACTGGAGAACGACGTCTCAACCGTTGAAGACTTGAGGGATTGCGAAGATACAACGGTGAAAGAATTCCTACATACGTGTTTTGCCGACTGTAAAACAATGTCTGTGGGCCTTTGTGCCACTCAACATGTTCTGCTTGTTTCCTAGTCTGAAGCTGCATTCTGATGCTTGCAACTGAGTGCACTGACAGGCAGCCTACGCCAGTGTGATCCAGTGGCGTGAGTGTGATCTTGAGCGCTCTCGATTTATTAAGATGTTCTTCAATGGATGCAGGAATGGCAAATTCATCTCAAATGACTTTTACATTGCATGGTTTTCGTATCTATGATTGCGCACAATTTCTGGTCAGTTACAGGATGTCTCCAAGATGACAGTCAGGCAAGTGCCGGGGAGAGCTCACAAGCTCTCAGGGGAGTTTTTTGTTGGGCAAAGGCTCATTTGGCCACGGTGCTGTAGGGACCAGAGCAACTACTTCTGAACGGCTTGGAGTCTCGGAATCCATGAGACTCCTAGGACTCCTAGGACTCCTAGGACTCCTAGGAGCCAAGAATTTGAAGATACACAGATGTCCAGAATCAACGAATCAAGGCAGACACTAGTGTCAGTTCAAGCCCGGAGATGTTGCTCTGGTCGGGCACAGCGCCATGTGAGTTGTAGTCCCCCTTTGGCAATGGCAGGGAGTCCCAGGGAGCAGGGCGCCAGTTGAGGGAAATTTGCCAGGTTTCTGACAGTTAAGTACTGCATATGAATTTATTTTACATGCAAGTAAATAAATATGTGTATGTGATGTGCATACAAATTTGCTATCCGATAAGTATATATTCATGCTTGGAACCATCGAAAACTGTTTACAAAACTGAGCACCAAGAAATTACTTCGCACCAAGCCACTTGGACAGAGACCAACTGTACCTCAGCCCTTCTGGATACAGAGAGCTCAGGGAAAATCCAAAGCAAAACCTGTTCCGCATACAAGGAATAGCCGTCTCCCCAGCCCAAACCCAAAGTTGAACATACTCGAACCTGGTTTTGATCCACTGGTCCATGCAATCAAATGCTTTTGGAAATTTAGTTCTGTTTCCAAAGCCCCGACCAACGCACGATGTTTTGATGTCTTGAGGTCCTTGGGATGCTCTCATAGACCTGCAGCGACAGGCCGAGAGCTATTTGTCAAAGGGTCACCGTAGACTTTGGGCACGACACCTCAAGATCAGCTCAAACAAATCCTACTCCGAAGTGGCAGGGCTATACCAGGCCCTGCCAATCCATATCAATCAACATTCCAAACGATGAACAAATGACAAATCATTGTTATGCTTTGCTTGACCCCACTTAAGGCCACCCTGTTGATGGGTATTCTCAGATATCGCTTCTTGATGGTTGTTTTGCGCTATAAAGTTTTACGAATCCATTTTAACCTTCTTGTTGTTTTTGAACATAAGTGCAACTCTCTTTCCGATTGATTATCAGAGTTCGACTCTGAGCCAAGAGTCTAGATTGGGAGAGTTTTGAAGCTGGTTTTGGAGACTGTGACTTTGGCAGTCTGCTGGTGGTGCCCAAAGGGTAGGCCGTTCGATCTCACTCAACTTGGCATGGGATGTGCCGCATGGATCTAGTGGCATGTAAGCCAATGGCGCTAAAGATGCTTCAGCATTTTTGATATTTGGTGTTTCCATAAACGTTGAAAGCTGCATGAGGGGCTCAAAGAATGCGGCATGCCCTGAATTTGTTTAGACTTAGCTCGGTGTGAGCACGCTGTGCAAGCTGAGCACTGCCGCACGATTGTGCCGCCAGCGGCCGATCCACGGATTTCCAGCTCATGCGAAGCGAGGCTCTTTGGGTCTGCCGAGACACCCTGCCAAAGTGCGGCCGAGAAGCGGAGTTCAAATGACACCGCCACTTCAGATTCCAGGATGACGGAAGGGAAAGTTTGCAGTTTGCAGTGATGTGTTCTCATTTTAGGAGCTGTCTCAGTATGGACTCTGTGGCCCAATGTTCTTCGTTTAGACATGTAGAATGTCATCCTGCTTAGATTTCGGCTGGACGTTCCTTATCTTAGTTTTGTTTTAGGGTGCGACTGTGTTGGAAAGTCGCCGCCACTCCGTTTCTTCCCTTGTGCAACGACGCAGGAAGAATCAACCTCAGCCCAGAGGCGCAGGGGCGCTTCAGCGGGCCGTAGGGAGGTCACTCTGCTTCTCTTGGCACGATGCTTCAGGAGAGCTTATTACTTGTCGTAGGCTCACCGAATAGGTGAGAAATCGAACGTAGGCCGCGCCTACACCTTTCGAACAGTCAAAACCAGACTTTCCATGGCAGGGAATACTTGAAATCAGGGGTAAGAAATTTTGCTTTCGCTGCCCTTTCCTTGCCATTTCCTGCCGTGGGAGACTGCAGTGACTGTGGAGGCTTTCGATTCCTCCCCATAAGATGGACACCCGTGGGAAGTGTTCAAGTCCTGATGGCCCGCAACGAAAAGTGATGCCGGGATGCAAACTGCAGCTCGTCTTGTACCTGAGCCTTCCATATCCTTCCATTGTATTGACCTCTGCACAACAGCCTCAACCATCCAACTGAAGGCAGTTTTCAATCCACACTTTAAGAAATGACCTCCTAGAAGAGCATTCTTCAATGAAGAGACCTTCTAGACGCTACAGGATCCATAGGTGAAAGCCATCAGATTTCATGATGTCTGATCTTTGTCTTGGCATTGCCCGTTTCTGGCTCAGCGGGACGCCACACCCACGGTGAACCAGCCGCTGCAGGCAGCCTGACTTTTCCAGCACCAAGTCCACACATACATTACATGTATATATATAATACATATATATATATTATGTATATATATATACACATATGTATGTCATGTAATGTAATGTAATTCAATGTAATGTGATGTAATGGTATGTAATGGTATGTAATAGTATGTAATGGTATGTAATGGTATGTAATGTATGTATGTAATGTATGTAATGTATGTATGCAAAGTAATGTTATGTTATTTTAGGTTACGTTATGCAATGTAATGTAATGTAATGGTATGGTATGGTATGGTATGTATGTATGCATGCTTGTATGTATGTATGTATGTATGTATATATGTATGTATGTATGTATGTATGTATGTATTAATGTAATGTACTGTAATATAAATGTATATAATGTAAATGTTAATGTAATGTAATGCAATGTAATGTATGTAATGTAATGTAATGTAATGCAATGTAATAAATGTATGTAAATATATGCATATGCATGTGTATATGTATATGTATATGTGTATGTGTATGTATATGTATATGTATATATATGTATATATATGGATATATATAATATATGTGTATGTGTAAATATGTATATGTACATATATATATATACATATGTATATATATATATACGTATATGTATATATATATGTACATATATGTATATATATATACACATGTATGTTATCATATGTGTATATATATAAATATGCACATTATCATATGTGTGAATATATATATATATGTATGTTTTTATATGCGTGTATATATATATATGTTATCATATGTGTATATATATGTATGTTATCATATGTGTACATATATATATATATATATGTATGTTATCATATGTATGTATATATATGTATGTATGTATGTATGTATGTATGTATGGTATTATATGTGTGTACAGTATATATATATATATATATGTTATCATATGTGTATATATATATATGTATGTTATCATATGTGTATATATATATATGTATGTTATCATATGTATATATATATGTTATCATATGTGTATATATATACATACGTATGTTATCATATGTGTATATATATATATGTATGTTATCATATGTGTGTACGTGTGTATATATATACATACGTATGTTATCATATGTGTATATATATATATGCATATTATCATATGTGTGAATATATGTATGTATGTAAGTATGTAAGTATGTATGTATGTATGTATGTATGTATGTATGTATGTATGTATGTATGTATGTATGTATGTATGTATGTATGTATGTATGTATGTATGTATGTTATCATATGTGTGTGTATATATATATATGTTATCATATGTGTGTACGTATATATATATATACATACACCTATATACATACACAATATCACATTGGCGGTGGCTAAATATCCCCAAATTTGATAAAAAAATGACCATCACTTCTTGTGGTGGGGGGACATGGCCAGGGGACCTTCAGGGACCTTGGCAGGTGTCGTGGCGGCATGGCGGCGCCTCCTCCACCCCCTGAGGGTGTCCTCAACACGGAGGCTTTGAGATTTCGATCTTGGTGATATTCATGGGATATAGTGGAATCAGTGGAGTATTGATGGAATATGAATAATTTTCTTCGAGATTACTTCTATCTCTGAAGCTGTTTGTATCCCACATGGATCCTTCAACTTGCTTGAGAAGCCTCAGAACGGAAGCACAAATTGAACTAGCAAGCTTCGTCAGAGGTGGTCCTTGTCATCTATGGATGTTGCATGGGTTGATCAGCTTTCTGTGACATATTTGAAGGTCGTAGTACTTGCAACATATGAGATGTGTACTCAGGCGCTACAGATGAATGATGAAATTGTGGACATGTGCATGCTGCTGGACTATGAGAATAGGCACGATCTGTGGGTTGACCTTGGGTCCTCATGGTGCTTGGCCATTTCTCTTTGTTTGAAGACATCCGCTGTCTGGTCTCAGTATCGTGGATTGAGCGGACTTGGAGAAAGAGCTGAAAAAATGAGGGTCTGGAACATCGGAACATCAGTGTTGACAGTCAATTTTTGAGGCTTCAAACCACCTAAAGTATCTCAGAAATTATTGCGCAACAAGAGCAGTTTTCAGTTTGGATAGATCCCTTTGGGGAAGATGAATCGTACTGGTGGAGTTTATAAAGAGGCCCCTATCTTTTCTGTCCAGTTCTCCAGATCTTCCTTCCTTGTCTGTTGGCTGTGTCTTCATCCATCCATCAGGTTCTGCACCAAGGAGTTAAAGCCCATGCCGCGGACCTTTTTCGCGTGGGCAGTTGCTACCGGGGTGATGGGTTTGGGGACTCCAACATGTCCAATTTCAGAATGGAGCAGAGACGAAGGTCGTTCCATTTACTCCATTGCTGTGCAAGCGTTGATGTTTAACCATTTTAGAACATCGGTTTGATGACTTTTGATGGCTGCAAAAGTTGAAGCTTTATTTGTGAGGTGAAGGTCTCATCTTGAACAACGTTAATTGTCTTCCGTCCAGGTATCCCGCTCAGAACCCTGCGCACCAGTTCAAATATTTCTCTCAGTTGGGAGCCCTGGTTGTCCACTTGGCAGTTCCACTTGGATCAGCCCCCAACAGTGGCCATCTTCATCGCTCAAAAACTTGGCCTGGCAGTTTTCACAGCTTGATTTTCTGAGGCTGGTGGCCTGGGGGCTGACCTTCCTGAACCTCAAGGCCACTGTGATTAAGCCATTGGCATACACTTGGATGCCAACCCTTGAAATGATGGTACTTCAGTGCCGTTTACGAGTTTCTGTGTCTGAATTTTGCTCCCCACCCAAAGATACACCAAAATCCACCCTGCCAGGGCCCTCTTGAAGGTTGCACCCAGGGGTTCGGGTATCTGCAAACATGGTTTTGAGTGTATCAGAAATGGCCGCCCTCAGGCAGATTGGGATGAGTTCGATGACCCCACCACTGTGATGACCAGCATGCAGGTCTCTCTGAAGCTTGGACAAATTGATGTGCTGCTAGCATGAGGAAGGGGATCAGAAGAAGAACAGTGAATGCCTATATTACATGGCTACATGATCCTACACCTGCCTTGCCTGAGGAAAGATGCTGGTATTCAAGTTCTGAACCTAGAAGATGAACATGGGATGTGCATTCGCAGGGTCTTCAATGGAGTTCCAGATGCATAGAGGTTTGTCAACTGACCTATTTCTTTTGTGCCAAATCTGTTGAGAGTGCAAAGGTCCGAAGCTTCAAAAATCGCTCAAGGGTGTTGGATTTCAATGCCATTCTTCAAGTGTACCCGGAGATATGACATTTCTTCTCCCAGATGGACTTTCAGCAATATTTTTGCTGAGACAAGAATTCGGCTATCCCCATTCGGAAACAATCAAGATTGCCAGAATTGTACACAGCAGTCGTATAGCTGGCAGCCAACAGTCTGAAACCAGTTGAACCACTGATGGTGACACTGTCGCCATGGCGGCAGAGTGGAAGAAGGCTTTCTCCAGCTTGCCAGAGGCAGTCAAGGGGCAAACATCATCATGAGTCCCAAGAGCTCTGGGCTGGGGTCTTCCAAAGACTTAAGTGGCAGGATACTCTATTGTTACAGGATGCGCAGAGATATCCATGGATTTCATCATTCTCAGGAATAGGTTTCTTCCCAGCGGTTGCTTTTTGCCTTTGGATCGGCAGGATGTGCAAGAACAGATCCGCGAGAAGCAGCGGCAGGCCAGGATCAGTAGCAGTGTCAGTGCCAAGGAAAATTGATCAGCGGCCTATCGGATTTTTCTTCTGTTTGATTGGAGATTAATATGTTTATTGGCAGTTGCAGTGGTGTGTTCCCATTGAAGGGGGAGTTGACTTCTTGTCACTCTATAGACTATGTTGATCAGAAGCTGTGCTAAGATAGTGTCAACATATATAACCTGATGGAATGGCCTTGCCACCTTAGGCACAAGCCAAAAAGAAGGCAGGGCCAGTGACCGCTTCAGGTTTCTTGGTCTCTACTGAGTAGAGGAACCTTTTCTTGGGGATTGGATTATCATAGATTATCTCTTGAAGGTCTGCTCGATTCGGCTGCTTAAATTCAAAGTGCCGTCCTTTCTAACTTTGACCGATTCTGACCTGTTGTTTTGGCAGGCCAAGAAGTCTGAAGACAAGTCCGGCCCAAGGTCAACTGATTGAACTTTAAGCCTTCGTTTGCAATGTGGCCAATGTCGGTCTCCAGAATCGCACGCATGGCGCTGTCAAAGCAAGTGCCTCCCCTCCTGTGAGACGAGGCCTGTGTTGGAGGAAGATAGGACTGGGCTGGGAAGAAATCGATCCCCCAGGATCATCATGGGATCATCATGAAGCTTCTCTTGGTTCAGAGCCTGCCAGCGTATCTGCCCAATCTGTTACAGTCTCGCAGCTAGCCTTTCAGTACGCAGGACGCCTCAACGAACCCACCTCGCCATGGAGGACCGGTTTGCTGCTCATTTTTTTCGACTTGGAGAAACCTCTTTCAGTGGGCGTTAGATCAATCTGGTTGGGTGTTGTGAATCAGATCACGATTTAGTGACGGCATGTTGCGGCGTCTTGTGGCTCACGCTGCAGTCGTGAGTCATACCTTGCTGCACTGTAGCCATGAGAAGTTTGGGACCTATAATTACCTCTCAGAGTGAGATGTGGAAGCCTTGTTTCGTTTTCTTACAACATGTCTCAGGAACATTCCATAAAACCGAAAGCCAACCATCAAATTTCGACACTTTCCAATGATTTATATGTTTCGTCATTCCTTGCCCCTGGGATTCCCCTGGGATTCCCCTGGGATTCCCCTGGGATTCCCCTGGGATTCCCCGATCCAGGACTACTTTGGCGCCTGCCGCGCGGGGGTCTTCCAACAGGAGGGCTTCATGGCCTCCGAGGAGATGGTGGAGCATCTCCTGAGTGCCCCGGTGGACTCACCGACGATCCCGGTGGAAAAAACCGTGGGTCCCGGATCGGCCCAAGGGGATCTGAATTTTCATGGAAAAGACCCAAAAGACCATGTTTTTTCAATGATTTTCCAGGATTTCTCCGATCATTCAACATTAAAGATTAGGAATGACGGTTCATTCCTATCCATTTTTATGGCTTTGAGTTGGGTAAACGGTGTTGAAGCAAATACGCAGTTGGTGTGTGGTTTGGGAGAGAAGTCGTCATAAAACAAGATCTCTCACGGTTACGCAGCGGTTGACGTGACTTTTGCAAGCCGAGGAATGGATTTCAACCAGGCGCATCTGGGTCACCCAACTTGTTCACCTTGATGGCCTCAGGGTGGCCTCAGCGATGTATTGATCGGCAGGTGGTGGGTCGTTTCCGGGATGGATCTCCTGTGCGGCTATCCTCTTTCAACTACTTCCTGCTGCTTGGTAGAGATGTCCGTTGACCAGGTCAGTTGGATCCAATGCTTATTTTGCATTCTACTCGTACACACTACAGTAGTTATATCTCCTTCAAAACGATGCCATGTTGCAACCTGAACAGTTGCTGTGAGCCATCTTTACCAGTAGTACCGCACAAGGCGGTGGCGGAAGTTTCAAAAATAGGAAACCTATAGGAGAGATTGGTTGTTGTGAATCAGGGATGGCAGAGCGAAGCCACTGATTGACCGAAAGGTGGTTGGAGTTGTGTTTGCTGGAGTGGTTGCAATGGTGGCAGTGGTCACCTCACCCACAACTGCTGGATGTAGTGTGATGTACTGCAACTGTAGTTGTAGTTGTAGCGTAGTGGAGTTGTAGCTGTGGTGTAATGTAATTAGTGTAGTGTAGTTGCAGTCATATAGTTGTAGCTGTAGTTGTTTTGTAGTTGTAGTTGTTGTAGTTGTAGTTGTAGTTGTAGTTGTAGTAGTAGTAGTAGTTGTTGTTGTAGTTGTAGCTGTAGTTGTTGTGTGGTTGTAGTTGTTGTGTAGTGTAGTAGTAGTAGTAGTAGTAGTAGTAGTAGTAGTAGTAGTTGTTGTTGTTGTTGTTGTTGTTGTTGTTGTTGTTGTTGTTGTTGTAGCTGTAGTAGTAGTAGTAGTAGTTGTTGTTGTTGTAGCTGTAGTTGTTGTGTGGTTGTAGTTGTTGTGTAGTGTAGTAGTAGTAGTAGTAGTAGTAGTAGTAGTTGTTGTTGCTGTTGTTGTTGTCGCTGTTGTTGTTGTAGTTGTTGTAGTTGTTGTAGTTGTTGTAGTTGTTGTTCTAGTTGTAGCTGTAGTTGTTGTGTAGTTGTTGTAGTTGTAGTTGTTGTAGTTGTAGTTGTTGTGGTTGGTGTTGTTGTTGTTGTTGTTGCTGTTGCTTTTGCCTTTTGCTGTTGTCGTCGAAGTTAGGGTAATTAAGGTAGTGAAGTTAGTTAAGTTAGTCAAGTTAGTTAAGTTAATCAGTGTCTACTTTTTCGACATCTTCACGTCAAAAAAGGCTCAAAACCCTCAGTTTTTTTCACTTTTGACTTCGAAATGTGCTTCCCCCACAACGGCATGCACTTTTTTGACACTTTTTCGACATCTGAACCTCCAAAAGTGGTCCGAGACCGTCAGTTTTTAACACTTTTGACTTGGAAATCTGCTTCGCGCCACAACGGCGTGCACTTTTTCAACATCTTAACTTCCAAAAGTGGTCCGAAGCTGAAGTGTTTTTACATTTTGACTTGGAAATGTGCTTCGCGCCACAACGGCGTGCACTTTTTCAACATCGCAACTTCCAAAAGTGGTCCGAACCCCTGGTGTTTTGTACATTTTGACTTGGAAATGTGCTTCGCGCCACAACGGCGTGCACTTTTGCGACATCGTAACTTCCAAAAGTGGTCCGGACCTGAGGTGTTTTGTGCATTTTGACTTGGAAATGTGCTTCGTGCCACAACGGCGTGCAATTTTTCATCGCTCCTGTGGCCAGCTGGGTCCGCACCCGCCGCTTTAGCGAGCCTACTTTTCGACCCTCCGGAGCCACAAATCATTGGAAAAAACACAGTGTTTCGCGACTTTCCTACCTTTTCGCGCATCTGTATCTTCTGTCCTCTTACTCTTTCTCTTCTGATCTTCTCTCTTCTAATCTTCCCTCTTCTCTCTGCCTCTATCCTGCTCTGCTTTTCATCTGTCCATATTGTCGGAAGTTTGACTTCTAAACTTCCTTCGATAAATAAAGAAAGGATGCAGTCCATGCATTCCAACGTCAGGTTTCACGGATCCATGCGAAGTGATATGCACGCAAGCACGTAAGTGCTACGAGTGCAGAGTCCGCACTTTTCCGCGAGTACTTGTTGATTGATTGTTCAATTCTCTTCACACCTTACAAACCTAGGTTCTTCTGTCTCCCAAGTCTCTGTAAACTTCTGATGGTATCCGCATTAGCCTTGCATCATCACCTTGCTGCAACAGCACGAAGCACTGCTCTAAGAGATTCAGATGAGGTTTGACGGCACTGACAAGCAGATTTGGGCCTGGGGCTTGGAAGTGTAGTTTCCAGATGACCAGTGGAGACCGAAAGAAACGGATTGGCTGGTTCATGGTTCAATTCTGTGGGCCTTCAATTTCTTCCCCCCCAAAATGGGAACAAATCAGCAACTGTCAACCATTTGCGACACTTTTATCAGATCACCATCTTCCCGGTAGCATGGGATAGCCAAGCCCCAAGCCACGTATTCATTGGCTCAGCAGATCCCCCCAAAATGGGATGATTCATAGCTCAGATCGCGGCATAGCAGGATCCCATCTTTCTGGCGCGGCTGGCATACGAGGGTTTCTTCACCATCACCACCGGAGGAAGGAGCTGCCCAGACCTCAACCCAGGGTCTTCGTTTTTTTTTGGGGGGGAAGGGAGTGATGTTCATCATGAACTCAAACGAACAGATACACACCATGATTGTATCCACATTTCTGCAGGAGTAGAGAGCGTATACCGCTGCCGGAGTTACAACCCTACTATGGTGTGCCCCTTCGGCTGCAGATGCTGTCCATGATCAGCCTGGCTGTCTGTTTTCTTTGAACCACATGCAGTTAGCTATGCTGGTTGGCGGTCCTGGAGCTGTGCAGAGGTTGGATTGGAAGAATTTCAATCAAGCTAAGCCTGTGAAGAAGGCATTGAAGCGAGTGAAATCAGAAGAAGGATGCCCTGGATGCAAGCATCTTGGCCGATCAAACGCCCCGTGATTTTCTGTGCAGGACCCACGGAAACATAAGTGCACAGCCCTAGGAAATAGCTGTCCAACAGCAACTGAAAGATGCTGAGATCAATTCAGAGACAAAGCAAAGTCTTGCTTGTTGCTTTGGTCTTTATACTTTCTGATACATTTTGATTATTCACATGTTTTAAAACTTTCTCAGGTACTACCTGTACTGCAACCGGAATTTGAAGTTGACCTACCAGGGACTGAATCAGTACCACAAGGCTGGGGTTTGCAGGCTGTCAAAATGGCTTCGACTTCAAGACCTGCGAACGGACGTGCCAAGTGTGTTGATCAGCAATACATAGCACTGTGGTTGTAAACTCAGGGCTTTGCCGCTGGACATCTGGACATCAATAAAGGTATAACTCCACACAGTGCCATCCCGATATCGATCCCGCAGAGGATCAGAATGGTGAGAACTGGATGACGTGGAAGTACCTTGAAGCGTTCAAGGCAGCAAGTGAAGCCCTCGGTGTCAGTTCTGCACCGGTTTTGAGAACTTGATCCAGTACCACTGTCTGCAGTTTGTGACTGTTTATGACCAGGTGGAGTCCAACAAAAAGGAACCAATACTGCCAACACCTGTCAACAATTCCCTGATTGGATTTGAATAATTCAGTGTCCATCCCCACATGGTTCCACTTCTAGCCAGAGAGGCAGAGGTTGGAGGTTTCGTGTCGTATCATCGTCGTTGAGACTTTCCGAGTGGTTTAACATGGACAGTTCAAGTGACTCAAGTGGTGCCGGGGTAGCCATTGACCAAGGTGACAATCCCAAGATTAACTTCAGGCTTCATTCCATTGAACCTTGGACTCAAGCTGTCTGTTTCGGTGTGAGGAGTACCACACGTCCGTCCCAGGAACTCTACGATGGACCTCTACCTGAGGCTGGCACATCGTCAGTATCCTGGCTGAAGATAGCAAAGATTGGGGAAGGGTTTTGCATCGGAAGATTGATTGACGTTTTTCTCTTCTTTGCAACGACTTCTATTTGTGGGAAAAAGACCATTTTGGATCTGAAATGTGAACAGAATTTTATTGAGTACATGTGATGGGACAGTACCCGAAGTGAATGGAGCATGGGCTTCAGTTTTCGAATTAAAAATGGCCTTCATTTTGGGGGCACCGGTCCGCCAAACTGAGGCTGTTCCCAATCTGGTGGCTGGGGAGATTGGGCACCCAAGCTGCAGTCTGTGCAGAGATGCAAGATCCAACTCATTTGTCCTTTTTCTGCTCGGGACTGTTTTGGGAGGTTCTCTTGGCAAAACGCAAGAGAAAGTCTCTGCAAGTCAGCGGCAAAATCATCGTGATTCTGTGATCAAGGTATGGCATCGGCAAAATCTACACGAGCTTGTCGGGATTCAACGTCCGCGGAGACGATGGCGTTGGCTGGCCGCTCTTCAAAACAGGGGGATCTGCATCGACCCGTGATGACTGATGAACTGGTGATGGTGTCAATCTGATCATGCAACAGTTCAGGATGAATCTCATCCTTTGGGTCCAAAGTGAGAGATCAAAACAAAAGATTAGGATAGAACTGTGCCGACATGGTCCTGTCCCGGGCTGTCTCAGGATCCAACTTTCCTGCCTGGGAAAGTGGCTGGAGTACAAAAAGTATTCCTTCTGGACGCGCAATTTGTGGCAAAAGCAGTTGTAGACTGATGCCAATTAGACAGCCACTCCATTTTGCCGTTTAGGAACCACTGCAAGTGCCTTTAAGACTTTGGATTCTGCCAAATTATCCTTGCTATCCAGACCCTCAAGCGATTTTGTTTTTTTTTGGTGTTCAACACCAGGAGCCTTGGCCACTGCTACAGCCCGCAGATGGAAGCTTGACTGAAGAGCATGGGCTCTGGAGTGACTGCATTTTCATGTTTTCTCACCATCAAACAAAAGGCGAACCTTCCTTGTAAGCTATTGAGGTGCAGCAAGCTGTGACCCACAAATTTGGTTCATTTGGGTCATGGGCTGCCAGGAATACAAACGGCAGCTGGGTCATCGCATCTACACGCGAGAAGAGTTCCTTCAGCGGCTCAAGCTGGAACGAGGCGCACCGCTGAAGATGGACCCATCGCGCTGCTCATGACGTACACCCAGTGGTGGACATCAGTTCTCTTTCTTACTCGTAAGTCTCGGGAGTGAGGAATACCATGGAATAGCAAGATAGATTCTATGATAGATTTCTAATATTTCTATGGAGAAATGGGACGAAATGGACTCTCACCAAGTAGTTCCATGATCGAACTTGACGTCTTTCGCCAGAGGACCCTTTCGCCTCTCGGATGATGGGCATGGGCACAACTCCATGCTGCAAACGAGTGGTGAGGATCGGCTTTTACCTCTGGGCGGCTTAGCCAAGAAAGGTTGTACATAACCGTTGGAATCCATGGAATCCAGGAATCAATGAGACCTACTTTGTTTGCAGAAAACAGTTGGACCGACCAGTCCTCTTTAGGGGATTCAAATCATGAGAATTCGCTGGGATCAGAAAAGAGATATGCCCCATAGGTACGGCAATGTATCATATCATACACATATGTCTATATAGTGTATCAATATATATATATATATATATATATACATATAGATATAGATATGAGGCCCCACATATATATATATATGTATGTATGTATGTAATGTAATGTAATGTAATGTAATATAATGTAATGTAATGTAATGCAATGCAATGCAATGCAATGTAATGTATCTATGTGTGTATGTGTGTATGTGTGTATGTGTGTATGTGTGTATGTGTGTATGTGTGTATGTGTGTGTATATACGTATATGTATATATATATATAGATATGTATATATATATATATCTATATCTATATGTGTGTATATATATATATGTATACGAATCATCGAACAAGCCCATCTTTACCAGCCCCCTTTTCACAAAGGAAACGATGAAGACTACACAGCTCAAACTCAGTGTGAATGACTCTCAGTGTAAACTATTCTCAATGTGAAGGCTCTTAGCAATAATTGGAAACTTGTTCTCTATACTTTCACAAGTGAGCGTGGCCTTAGGAGTGTATATCTTTTAATTCAAATCTAGTTAGTGCCTACGACCTGTAGCGTTGACCAAGCTGGAGGTTTTGGCAAAAAAAATAATATATGTACATATATTGTATATATGTAGATTTACATATGCATATATATATATATGTATACATGTATATTTATAGATATGATATATATATATAGAGATACATGCACATATGATATATATATATACATGCACATATGATATATATATATTATTTTATATATGATATATATATATATGTATATATATGATATATATATATAATATATATATATATATATATGATACACACATATATATTATATGATATATATATGATATATATATATATACATATCATATATATATATCATATATATATACATTATATATATATGATATATATATATATGTAGATACGCATGATATATATATATATACATATCATATATATATATCATATATGTATATACATATTATATATATATGATATATATATATATATGTAGATATGCATGATATACATATATATATATACAGAAATATATGATGTATCACATCATATTCCCATATTTGATAAACCCACAGAACCGCGACTTCACCGCTTCGCCAGGCTTGCGACATGGCTGCGATAACTGCACCAAGTCTGCAGGAAACGTTCCTGTAGTATCGATTCGTCGCGTGCTGGTGCATAGTGGCATAGCTTGAGCCGAAAGCATGGCTGAAACGCCTTGCGAAGCGAAATGATTTGACTGCTGCGGAAATGTAGTTATTGCTTTGTTTCTTTTCAAGGAAGGTTTTATGTTTTGGCTCTGTATATACTGGGTCAACCTTGGTTAGATACTTTAATACGATTCACCATGTACATTTGTACATATGTATACATGGTCTGCAGGTTCTGCACTTTCTGCAGGGAGTCGTTGTGGTGAGACGTTTCATCTTGGCTTGTACAGTCATAGCCGCAGGAAAAAGCCGCTTCAGTTGATGTTGATTGGAAGCCTCGCATGTAGTGTATTTGATGCGTCCTGCATTTGGCTGGAAACGCAATGTTCACCCTCTCCCCATTTCAATCAGGCCAGTTTGCCGATGGGTTGTTGATTGTTGGATGAGTGAAGGATCCCAACTCCAGCAAGGACTTATACATATATATATAATTATATATGTATATATATATATATATACACACATATCCCCTGATTTTCTCTGCCCTTTGTGCCTCCATCTCCATCCAGCCTGAGGTGCCTGGTGGCATGGGCAAACTGAAGTCGGGCTATGGCGACACAGTCTGCCAGGTTCTACATTCCTTGCTGAGCGAGGCTGCGGGGTTGGATGCAGCGGCATTCTCCCTGCATATTTGTTCAGTAAAACTAGAGGTTTCCTGGAACAAATCCCTTCACCTGTCTTCATCCAATTTGGGAAAAAAATCAAACAACAGCTTCAAGCACGAAGAGCCTCGCAGACTTGGCTCAGTATATTTGAATCATCTCATAGGACGTCGTTTTTTTACGCCATGGCAGCACCCATCATGAAGAGCAAGGACTTGAAGTTCGATGTTTCTCTGCATGGCGATCCGGCACAGCCCTGTGTGATCTCCATTGTTGGCACCGGTGCTTCGATGAACATGATGATGCCTATTGTTGAAAGCCTTGCAGCACGTGATCTTTTTGTGATCAACTACAACCCTCGTGATGTTTGTGGCACAGAAATCTTTCGGCAGATGGAGGCAATGGTTCCTGAAGGTAGGAATCTCATGGAGGAAATGGGCAAAATCTTTTCTGCTGATGGGAGCATGAACTTGGACTCGGATTTCTATGCCCCATACAATTGGTATGATTTGGCCGACGATGTGGTTGCTATCATGGATTTGCACAACATTGCAAAGGCAAGTGTCATTGGCTTCAGCACGGGAGGCGTGATCGCACAAGTTGTGATGTGTCAATTGAAGGAGGATCGCCTGAATTCTGCGGTGATTTGTAGCAGTTCCTGTGAAGTGCTTCCGTCCCAAGCGCCTTTTGAGAACCCCGCTCTACAGGAGCTGATGGCAGCGGCTGCGGCAGTTTCCCCAGAGTCCAGCAAGGAAGAGCGCGTGAAGGGCCTGTTACCTTCTCAGATGTCGATGTGGGAGGTTGCTGAGGGGGACCCATGGCAGGCTATACTCACTAAGGCCATTGAAGATGACTATGACAAGGGCTGGATGGATATTTATGGAGGAATGAATCCATTCTCCACCCTGGCCTGGGCGAGTTTTGCAAAGTCACATGAGCAGCACATCTCCAGCCTAGAGCAGAACAAGGTTCCATGCCTTGTTGTTGCTGGCAGGAAGGATCCACTGGTCCCCTATGCACAGAGCGAAATGCTGGCAGCGAAGACTGGTAGAGCAGTTCTGGAATCACATGATTTCGGTCATATCCTGGGACCTGCATCAAACAGGTCTGTGCTTCTTGACACCATGGCAGACTTCATCAAGACAAACTCCAAGTCATGAGCCAAATGTTGCTACGTTGCTGTCGACCCCAATTGGTTTGGCCATAGCCACAGCACCAGTCTCACATCCACCTCCAAAGGGAGATTGGAAGATTGACTGGTCTGATGTACAGCTAATTTGCACCCCTTTGGCATCCAGCATCCAGCTTTGGGTTTTCACTGCCATGGCGATGTCATTGGCACGCTCATGCCGTCAAGCTGATCAAGAGGCCACATTTCATCAAAAAAGTCGAGATGTTGGTGGAGTGAAAAACCTCCACAGAAAATAGGGAGATAACTGAGATTTTGCGCAGGTTACCCAACCAGGTTGGTTCTTTCTGCACGTCGGTCCTCGGTCCCATTGTGCAGGCCCTACGGCGGGTGAGCTTTGAATTCCACGCTCCCACATATCCAGATGAGGCCCTGGGCAGTTTTGGAGTCGACATGCACCGTGCCAGTGCCATCGCCCACGGGTCATCCACATTGTGTCCACAGCTTTCAGCAGAAGAGCTTCCAGTTGTTCAACCAACTCTCTTCCTAGGTTTGACTCCGGTCGACCCCTTGGATTTCGACCCTTTGATGCTATAGCGATTTGACTGCAGGGCATGGCAGATGAAGCTGATGTCGACAGCGATGCTGAGATCCATTCGGTTGGGGAGGACTCATGTTTTTCTCAGGGGAAAGGGAGAAACAGTGCAGTTGGGTGCTGATTCCCAGTGGACTGGTTGATTTTGGTTGGAATCTGCATGTCTCCATGGCAACATTTCGCTTCGGATTTGCTCAGCCTTCAACCCTGACAGGATGAGATGCCTGGCGACGGTGAAGAGGATGACCTCATGTACCAGGCGCAGCTTGCTGTGTTGTAGTGCAATTATGGCCCAAGCAGTTTCCGCTTCTCAGATCCTTTTTTTGAACTCCGGTGTTTTTTGTTGGGACAAAGCGGTCCACAACGGCTGACTTCGCCCAGGAAGATGTACCGAAACCTCCCCCTGAGGATGATGGGGACGATCATCAGGCCACGGCGGCCTCGGCGGCCTCGGCGGCCACGGCTTTCAGATTTTGGTATGGGTCAGTTCAGCCATGTTCAGCCTGGTACCCTGATGTACCCTGATGTACCCTGTACTTCAAGCTGGTGTGGATGTCCTTCCTGGGAAAACCCAAGGAAAAGCGCATCGCTTTTCACAATGTTTGAGCCATCCCATTTGGTATGTCCATGTTCCCAATTTGACTCGTTAAACCGTTTGTTAAACCGTTTGTTAAACCCAACTTTTGCTTCTGTCTGTTCCCAACGTTGGTCGCAGCTTAAACCCAATTTGGCCCATCTGTTGGGAGGTGCTGCAGGCCAACGTGGACCCGAAAGAATGGCTCCTGGAGGCACTGGTGGCTGCACCAGCGACCCGTTCGAATCGCCAAGGGATCGGTCCCTATGCAGGTCGAACGGGTCTCATCGAGGCTGAAAGTGACAATGCCTAACGACTCAAAGGAGTGGAGGAGCGGATCTTGTTGAGGACTTGTCGCACTTCCTTTCTGATGGTTTGTGATGGTTTGTCTGCAAATAAGGTACTAGCTAATCATCAGCATCCCTATGAAATTGGCGGTAACCCCCCATTTTCAGACACACCACTATGGTGAATTAGGGTGAAATGAGGGCGCAGTCTTTGCTTTTGCCCAGTTATCTTGCTGATGCTGATATATAATGGACCGCTTGAAACAAAAGGGACATGATGGGCACCTGCCATGAAAGGACACACTTGCAGCAGACCAAGCAGTACAAACAGGCCCCATGCACTGCTGTGATATGCTTTGATTAAGAGGTCTCTTGATCGCTAGGTCCCGCTAGGTCCCGCTAGGTCCATGCGTCCTGGCCATATTCCTTGCAGGTTCAGCCGGTTAGCATTAACTGATGAGATCATCTGTTCAGCCGAACTGTTCAGGAATACAACTCATTCAGTGCAGGAGTGATCCTTAGGTCACAACCCAAAATGTTTTAGAGCTTTAGAGGTAGTGCAAGCAGCAGCCAGTGTTCTTGGACCCCGACTTTGCAGGTGATCGAAAATCAGTTTCCAGCTTCGAAGGTGCCGAGTTCGATCCATGGTTCCCCGAAAGCTTGACAAAAAAGAGGTCTGCACATTTTACCGTGAAACTGGAAAATAGAGGAAATAGTTGATGTTGGCTCCAAACTGGAAGGTTTTCACAGACTTGGGGAGTGAGCAATCTGAATGAACATGTATAATGTACTGTGTCGAACTGTTTGTTCAACCTGGAAGTGACAGGTGCAGCTGGACAAACTGACCGCACAGCTTAGTCAAGCCATGGATCGCATCAAGTCCAAGGAGGCCTGACTTGATTCCTGAAGATTGGCTGTGCAACTCTAGGTACAGTGGGTAAACGATGTAAACGGCTGATCCGTTGATGCCTCAAAGCCTCAAAAAAGAGTTGAAGGGTGCACTGAAGCCATCGTGCAACATATTCTGCCGGAATTGATGGTCCAGGCCCTGGTCGATTTCTTGCCATATCTTGCCACATTACTCCGGTTCTTTTAAAATCCATATGGCTAATGTTTTTCCTTTGGTATTTTCAGGCAATTTGGAGGGTTTTTTTCACCATCCAATAGGTCTAGTTTTCCCATGTTTTCCCAAGTTGTGAAGTCATCCATACCTCGACATAACCTGTTGTTTTCATGGCAACGTCGCCAGAACTTCATCAACACGCAGTTCGACCACCGTGCGGTGGACTATCGACAGCAGCAGGAGGAGTTGACCCAGGTGCCCGGGGAGTCGAGACGGGAGTCCCGGGGCGAAAAAACGGGGCAAGCTGAAGAATTGGATGGTTTATAAATGTTGATAATGGGTAAAGGACAGTAATAATATAAATATAATGGTAATAACAGTGATAACAATCATGATAAATATAAATATAAATATTGATAAGAATCGCAAGGAACGATGAAATTAGAATCAGCATCATAATCATGGTGGTAAACCCAAAACCATAAACCAGCCCCGAATTTACCCCAGACTCTTCGCACAAACTATAAACCACTGCAAGGATGCATTTTTCAAACCCCACTTGAGGTTCAGCAGCAGTACACGGAGCTGAACGAAGTGGCGGGGGTTGCCAAGTGATTCGATTTCAGAAAGGTGGTGGGTTGGAACCTGGAAGATAGACTCACATTCTACAATTACGCACGAACAAATGCCATTTGGCTTTTGACTTTTGGACACCACCAACCCTTCTTCCTCTGTTGGACGTATCTTTGTATTGTTACATTACAACAAATCGCCGAAATTGCCAAAGTAACAAAAACACATTCCTGGGGTGTTGAACATTTATCGCAAAGTTATGAAACAATTGACAAAGTGTTTCTCACATGCAATTGGAACATTCAGATAGGCTTTTCTTTTTATATAGACGTCTTCATGAAAGTGATTATAACAATATGACGTTACTTGAACATGCTTGGACTCTTCAGACACACCCCATCTTCTGTAAACCTTGCAAAGATAGTTTCCAAGGTCATGAACTTACAGATTGAGCTCAAAAATGTCAGTGAAGAGCTCGACATGGTCAAGAACGAGATGGAGGACAGACTCAGGGCCTGAAGATCTTGGCCACGACTCATGCGAGCAGCGTATAGAGCTAGGAGGAATGGTGAAGACCATCCTGTAGTTGGGAGGGTCATTCAAGACCACTGTCTGCAAATTGGTGAAGACACACTGACTGCTCTGTTTGTACTGCCAAATATGATTTATATGATTTACTGTTTATGACATTTTGTGACTTGATGAGGTTTATGATTGTGTTTACATGTGTTTACTATTGTGATTCTGATGACGCGCCGGCAATGTGCGTCACCTGCAGGAAAAGTCCTCGACAGTGACAGATACCACGCCCATCGTTAAGATGAAGGCTGAAGAGATCACCCGCGGTCTGAAAGTGTCTGAAAATGCCATGGAAACCCCGTCAAAGGGCCATGAAATGGCCATAAAAACCATAGAGAACATATGGAGAACATTGGCAAAATGATGCACCAGTGGAACGGGGTAGCCTAAAACAACAGCTTTGGCGCTCCTTTTCATCGCTGACGAAGGATGCCTTCAAGAGATTGAGGGCAGACACTCGGCAGCTGGAGGTGCCAGTCACTTGCCCACTGTGGTTGAAACATTTACAATAATGTGGGTAAAGCAATAATGAACATTTATAAACCACCCATGACTGGGAATGGTAATCATACCAGCTATAATTATGGTGATGACTGGGGGATGGTTTATTATTGTTTTACCCACATTACCCATGTATGCAAGTTGCTTGAACAATCTATGTCATTCCAGGTGCGAATTGGTGTGGTCAGCCACACGTTAATGCAGGCAAGGCGGCAGGGCCCCATACGATTGGGGATTTACATTGGCATTTCGTCTTTTGGGTCGTTCAGGCCAAGGGCAGTGCCATCGCCAGCAAACCACATTACGCTATGGGCTGGCGATTTATTTTTGTCCAGATTGCCGCATCGGATCTTGGAGGATTCGCGGAATATGTATAACTTATATAACTGTAATTTCCCCAAATTCACCGGACTTGCAGCAATCCCAGGCTTCGTGTTTGCCCATTGATGATATGGGGTGCTGCGTTGGCTCTGTTAGTGGATGAACCTCCAGCATTGGCAAACACGGCTCTACCGGGTCAGGCAAAGCTGCGACAAAGGCCCAACCAGGAGACAATGACTGCGACTGGAGACGGTTTTGGGATCATGAGCGAAAACTTGATGCTATGACTACTATCTATGACTACTATTTGTGACTTCTTGATGTTCAGGATTTTCTGTAATTTTCCTTCAATTCTAACCAGTCAAGCCTGTTTGGCCGTTCCTTGTTCTGTGTTTCAAAATACAAGAAACAACTGGTTTCAAGAATTGCAGAAGAAGTCGCTTGTTTTCTATATGGGCTGAAACTCTGGCAGGCTCTATTTCACAGCAAAATTCGCCAATGCTCATTCCCCCGAAGATCATCCATCCCCAACCCCAGCACCAGGACCGAAAGCGTGGGGTCTACGGGGACTCCAGAGCCGAGGAGGATCAGTGCCCTTTGGGACCTCTGGGACCTCTGGGTCGAGCAGGATCCCTTGAATCCCTTGAAATGTCGACCAGGGTCACCAATCCGCATCACTGTATGCTTTTGGAGGTATGACGAGCAGGATCCGTGAGAATTCGCTGACTGCTCCAAGTCGGTCAATGCAAACATGAAAATGCCAATACTGGTGGTGTCAAACCGAATAGAATGTCACATATGTCACTATTGCTGGCAAGGTTACAGGTTTCAACAATGCCATAGGAAAGGTTTCAATGAGAGTCTTTAAACAGAGTCCTCAAACCTCGTGTCTGAACATGTTCATACTTAGCCATTTTACCGCCCTGAAGAAACATCATCTGACAAATCATCCTTAGAGTTCTTCTTCATACATTGACCATGTACATGAAAAACTAGTTGTCTATGGAATCTCTGCCGTAGCGGCGGAGGGCAAAGGCTCCAACTTGGTGCCAAGTGTACAGCAGGTTCCGCGTGCCTCAGGCTGCATGCGACCTGTCATGGTGCTGGGTGTTTCACGAATTCAGGCCTGAAGAAAGTGAAAACAAACCATAGCTAAAAGAAAGATCCAACGTACAACACATACAACCAACATCATCAACATTGATATAGCTCTCCCGTTTGCAACATTCCATGGTAGATGGGCCAGTCCTTTGCTTTGAAGCTTGGCCACGTAGTTCGTCCCTTGCCTGGAAGGAGACTTCCATCGCATCTCAACATGAGAGGAGAAAGAGTACAACGAGGGAATGAGTCGTTCTTGAACGGTCAGGTACTCTATGATAATATGTAGTAATTGGAAACTCCCAAACCTAAAGGGAATTTACTTACTGAACATGTGGATTTTCAGTGGCATCCTGTTTTTGGGACTGTGAATGGCTGGTTGCACTTCTCTTTCTACCTTTGAATGGAACTGTCCATGAACCCAGAAGTCCAGTCTTTCAATAAAAGCAGGAGGGGTGCTGTATAAATAATGTATAACTTTTGAATACTTTTGATGTCAAAATCAAAAAGGGAAGTATCAGGAACTGCCTGGATAAATTGATAGTTGCTCTTGTACATATATATATATATATATATATACACATACACATTATACATTGTTACCGTTACGCGCCTTGTATATTGAATCCCCTGCTCGGAGTTAAAATATCGATTGATCCTCCACCATTGCAACAATCTGGTACAAAGTAGCAGCACACTCATATCCTTTGCAGATTTCAGATGCAAATCTCTTACCTCTCAGAAGCCGGCCATGTGCCATGAAGCCGTTGATTCCATGCTTGTGGTCACAGCAAGTGTAGAAGTCAAGTTGTGCATGTCGTTCTGACAGAGATTGAAACTGCTTTGCTCGGCTCAGTCCAACAGCCTAAATTTGTGGATTCGCATCCCATCTTGTGCTTCTCCCTGGTAGACTCCGGTGCGCTGGGCAGTTGGGAAGAGCAACGCGAGTTTGGGATTGAATCAGCATGACCCGACGAGTCTCTGAGGAGACATCAAACTCCTGTTGTCCATATCAGGTTGCCATCCAGGATCAGGTTTAATCATTTGCGAGGTTGTCGTTGGGAATCAAGTTTGTATTCACCAAGTCCTGTGACCGGTATTTGTTCTAATGGGCCAGGCCAATTCCCCCAAGTGATTTGGCAGACGAGGTGCTGTGGAAACCGAATTGGTCGTTCAAGGAGTTTGTTTTTGTAGCAGTTGAGTTTGGGGCATCAGTTTGCAGTCCTGTGCTGATGGGGGCATTGAGCAATTTTGCAGTTGCAGAACTGAGAACAGGAAAACCCTCCACAGTTCGCATCATGCGATTCCATTATGCAGAAAGTCATTCATTAGACACTTGTTTACTTTTTGATCCTTTCTCCGTTGTCATTCTCGGCTCCAGATTTTCAGCTGACAGCTGCTACTGTAGTGCTCGAGTTTACGGAGCACTTGCATCCCCATTTTGCATTCCTGATCTCTCATGGGGTCATGTCAAGCCGACTATAAGTGCTTTGGAGAGACAGCGACAGCTACAGGCCTTTATGATTGAGGTTTATTTCCATTGGTCACCTTTTGCCTCGGAGTTGCCGTTGGGCCTTACAGCCTTACATTTGCAGTGAAATTCACAAGCTTCGCTCGAGGGCTCTTTCAACTCTGGAGAGCATCGTTGTTGGAGTTCAGACCACAAGCCTCAAGATCCAGCAGCATGTGAATGAGTCCCGCCGTCGAGCGACAGCTGCTGTACAACAGGGAGATCAAGCAGGCTACGAGGAAGAAGTGCACAGAGCAGTCAAAAAGGGCAATATGGGCGGCACTTGCAACAGCATGATGCATGGCCCTTGTGCACCTGTAAACTGTTCCAAGTGTGGCCGCTGGCACTTTTGGTTTTGCCACCAGTGCAGGACTTGTCAATACTGGGCCTGTGTCAACGGATGTAATTGGAGGTCATTGGGGTGGTCCTGCGTTGATTCACAGTGTAAAGGTGCACATTGTGGATGCACACTAGGCACGAACCACTGGAAGGAGAACGGACGCGTTGCTTGATCCATCTCCATTGGAGGCAGGTGGATCCATGAGAATATCCCGTTTGCAGTTTTTTCTACTGCTGTGCTTGACATCCAATGACGATCTGCGCGAGCCAAAACCATTGCGCCCGTTGTTTGAGTTTCAGAGTAGCTGGCCAGCCATCAGTGACTTCCCCATCCCAGTTGAGATGAATATGTAATGATATGTCAATATCTCTGCAACTCCACAGCTACAAGAAGTCACCGGTACCAGCTTTCGATTTTCAGTTGATGTTGATCCATGCCAGGCTATGGGGAGCCTCGCCGACTTTTTGGAGGATGACATGAACTGCTGGGATGGTGGAGATCCAGCGGTATCTTTTCTTGCGAACGGCAAAATAGCTAGGACCTCTAGGAAATGGATGGATATTCATCCCACCGTGGTAAGCATCCATCGCTTTGAATAGGTTTGAGCCAACCGAATTTTCTACCGCAAGCGACGGCAGGCACAATTCCGAAACCAGAAAGGCGAACTTCCGGAAAGCTACGGCTACAGGGTCTGCTTCTGGGGAGTGTTGGGTTTGGGCAGCGCCTATGTGGATTTGTCTGAAATTCAAGTACCCCAAAATCTCATGGTCATGTAAATCATCATCTTCACATCAATAAAATGACTGGAGCGCCAAATTCGATGGCTTTCGCGTTCCAAAATGTAACTATATATATATTATATAATTTAATTTTATGGCTATCCCGAATCTGCTGAAGCTGATGATCCATGGATTCCACCTTTTCGGCCGGGGCAAGAAAAGGCTTTTTCACAAGCTGCAGGCCAGTTCATTCAGATGCAATAAGGATTGAAGATCAACGCACATGATAGACACTTCCATTTTTCGTAGCTGTGGATCTATGGATGTGTTGAGATCTTCGGATAGCGAAGATGATCGAAGATGTGCCAGGCCGATACGCCCCTGGGTGTTGGCTTTTGGACCGAGGCAGTGATGTTTTTTTTTGTTTTTTTCCAGAGCTCCTGCCCTCGGCTGTATGAATTGTGCTGAATTTCTGGCAGACCACAACGCAATGCAAAGTCTTGGAGAAGCCGATTGTAGTTCCCCATGGTCAGTGGCAGCCCCAGCCATCTGACATTAAGGAGATTCTGCAGAGATGTCTTTGATCCAGTGGGACTTGTGGATACTATAGTGTCAAGGGAGGTGCAACGACTTGGTGTGAAACCACAGAGTTGGGCACTATCAGACAGCGACTGTATCTACTGTATCTGTTGTGTTTAAACATCCAGGGCCGCTTTTTTTTCAGTTCCACTCATGGTTGGCTTGAGATGACTGGCGGCTGTCTTGTACATGGCCTGATCTCAGGGACCACTTTCAAGGATATAGCATCCTCTACGCTTACTGTGCAGAGGACCTGAGAGCTGGGATGACTCTGATTTTTCAAAGTGGGACAGAAAAACAGCTGGACATTTTCCAACATGACCAACAGCTAGGAGGGATTTCCATAGCTGAACTTGGGGGTACAGTTCCACTGACAAGTGGCTTTTTTTGGCCATAGTCCAAAATCACCCCAGTCCTGCAGTCGAGGAGGGCTTGACCCAGCTCCTGGAGGGAGTGCTTCCGCCGATCCTACCAGCAACGCAGAAGGACTCGTAGCTGTCGTAGCTTCGAATTCTTTCGTTCCATTAGTTCCATTGTATGGGCAGAATTTCCGTTTTGCACCCTTGCATATGAAGAGAACCCTTGAAGGATTTTCAGGAGCTAAAAACTGGTTGGAACGGATTAAGGGTGAGACCTTGCAGGAGCCTTCGAAGTTCCCAAGCTTGGAAGCAATCTCGGAGAACTTTGGAGCGAAAGACCCCAAGGCAGCTGCATGGTTTGAGTTTTGTTTTGCAGGCGTGGAAGATGTCTCTGCTTGGCACATGGTCAATTATGGTGAATTCCAATTTTCGTGATTTCATGATATTTGAAGCAGAGTTCCCGGTGATCTTCTGAATTCATATGTGCTTTCCACTTTCCACCTTCCCAACCCGCGGCTCCTGAGGCAGCTGCGCCCAACTCCAAGTTCTGTGTTCCCCTGCGAGTGCCTGGAGAGTTGGCCACGCAAGTCACGGATGTTGCACCAGGTGCCGGCTGGAATGGTGACCGGAAAGGAAGTGGATTCCCGGGGTTCCCGGGGCATGGCAAGTCCATCATCGAATCATCGAAGGCATTTTCATTGAGAGATGCTGTTGAGAATGGTCTGTTTCTGTCAGGCAGAGATATTTGGATGGTGAGATTCGACCAGGCCAAGAGCGGAATTGTCCGTGGGCCGAAACGCTTCAAAAATGCACAGCATTTCGCAGTTTCACGGAGAAATGACACCATGAGATGTGGCACCAATAAATCCATCTGCACCCTGTGAGATCTTGTAGGCTCTCAATGAATCCAGAAAATCCGTCCAAACAATTTTCAAACTCCGAACACACCAAAGATTCCCTTGGCAGTATATACAATTATATACAGAGACATCGACTTGGCAAACTACAAGAACCTCACCTGGCGTATCTCATGATTCTCATGGCAGATTTCATGGGCCGTGATCTGTTGGCCAGGACTTGATCACACCCTTTCTGCAGGTGGGTGGCTTAGGCGGCTTGGTCGTTTCTCCTTGAACTTTGATCTGGCAGACATCACTCGACTCGACTTAAGGCAGCCAAGGCGTGCGACGTATGGGAACTCAGGGTGGTGAAATGCGGGCTGCACTTAGGTGGCACTTGTGGTGAATTGCAGCCGGCGGCTAACCCGAAAGCCTTCTCAGGAGAAATCATTTATAGACAACGAACCTTGCGATAGAGATGTGGTGGCATTTGAGAGATCAGCATGGACATGGAAAGGGGAGGAAGCGCCAACATTTCCAATAGATCGAAGAACACCCGTCTTGGTCGCTGCTTCAGATCCCAAGGCCACAAAGCTGAGAGCAGGCCTCGCAGAAGGAGTGAAAGGTGCCAGCAGCGCGATGTTGCACTGCATGGGGAAGGTTTTTCAGTCTCTGGTTCAGATATAGAATGGGCTAGCGCCCAGGTGCCGCCGACCCCCCTAATTGGAGGGGGGTACTGTAGAGAGAGAGAGGGAGACGGACAGCAAGACAGACATATGGCCGTTTGCTTCTCAAGCCTGTGGCCTTGTCGTCGCTTTTGCGTGCGGGCGTGGCGCCTGTTGGGGTACCTTTTGCATCGGAGTTGGGCGGACTTTTGGAGGAGTTGGAAGGTTTGGAGGGTTTAACGCCTATAAGAAGCCATTGCTGCGGCCGTGGGGTGCCCTTGAGCCATTGCTGTGGCCTTGTGGTGGCTTTTGCGTGCGGGAGTGGCGCGTGTTGGGCTTGTTGGGGTACCTTTTCCCTGCGGAGCTGGCCGGACTTTTTTTGGAGGGTTTGGAGCGTTTGAGGCCTGGCAAACGGCAGCCTTGAACGCGTATAAGAAGCCATTGCTGCGGCCGGGGGGTGCCCTTGAGCCATTGCTGTGGCCTTGTGGTGGCTTTTGCGTGCGGCAGTGGCGCGTGTTGGGCTTGTTGGGGTACCTTTTCCCTGCGGAGCTGGCCGGACTTTTGGAGGGTTTTGGAGGGTTTTGGAGCGTTTGAGGCCTGGCAAACGGCAGCCTTGAACGCGTATAAGAAGCCATTGCTGCGGCCGTGGGGTGCTCTTGAGCCATTGCTGTGGCCTTGTGGTGGCTTTTGCGTGCGGGAGTGGCGCGTGTTGGGCTTGTTGGGGTACCTCCTTTCCCTGCGGAGCTGCCGGACTTTTGGAGGGTTTGGAGGGTTTTGGAGGGTTTGAGGCCTGGCAAACGGCAGCCTTGAACGCGTATAAGAAGCCATTGCTGCGGCCGTGGGGTGCCCTTGAGCCATTGCTGTGGCCTTGTGGTGGCTTTTGCGTGCGGGAGTGGCGCGTGTTGGGCTTGTTGGGGTACCTTTTCCTTGCGGAGCTGGCCGGACTTTTGGAGGGTTTGGAGGGTTTTGGAGGGTTTTGGAGCGTTTGAGGCCTGGCAAACGGCAGCCTTGAACGCGTATAAGAAGCCATTGCTGCGGCCGTGGGGTGCCCTTTGAGCCATTGCTGTGGCCTTGTGGTGGCTTTTGCGTGCGGCAGTGGCGCGTGTTGGGCTTGTTGGGGTACCTTTTCCCTGCGGAGCTGGCCGGACTTTTGGAGGGTTTTGGAGGGTTTTGGAGCGTTTGAGGCCTGGCAAACGGCAGCCTTGAACGCGTATAAGAAGCCATTGCTGCGGCCGTGGGGTGCTCTTGAGCCATTGCTGTGGCCTTGTGGTGGCTTTTGCGTGCGGGAGTGGCGCGTGTTGGGCTTGTTGGGGTACCTTTTCCTTGCGGAGCTGGCCGGACTTTTGGAGGGTTTGGAGGGCGGACTTTTGGAGGGTTTTGGAGGGTTTTGGAGGGTTTTGGAGCGTTTGAGGCCTGGCAAACGGCAGCCTTGAACGCGTATAAGAAGCCATTGCTGCGGCCGTGGGTGCTCTTGAGCCATTGCTGTGGCCTTGTGGTGGCTTTTGCGTGCGGGAGTGGCGCGTGTTGGGCTTGTAGGGGTACCTTTTCCTTGCGGAGCTGGCCGGACGTTTGGAGGGTTTGGAGGGTTTTGGGGCGTTTGAGGCCTGGCAAACGGCAGCCTTGAACGCGTATAAGAAGCCATTGCTGCGGCCGTGGGGTGCCCTTGAGCCATTGCTGTGGCCTTGTGGTGGCTTTTGCGTGCGGGAGTGGCGCGTGTTGGGCTTGTTGGGGTACCTTTTCCTTGCGGAGCTGGCCGGACTGTTGGAGGGTTGGGAGGGTTTTGGAGGGTTTTGGAGCGTTTGAGGCCTGGCAAACGGCAGCCTTGAACGCGTATAAGAAGCCATTGCTGCGGCCGTGGGGTGCCCTTGAGCCATTGCTGTGGCCTTGTGGTGGCTTTTGCGTGCGGCAGTGGCGCGTGTTGGGCTTGTTGGGGTACCTTTTCCCTGCGGAGCTGGCCGGACTTTTGGAGGGTTTGGAGGGTTTTGGAGGGTTTTGGAGCGTTTGAGGCCTGGCAAACGGCAGCCTTGAACGCGTATAAGAAGCCATTGCTGCGGCCGTGGGGTGCTCTTGAGCCATTGCTGTGGCCTTGTGGTGGCTTTTGTGTGCGGGAGTGGCGCGTGTTGGGCTTGTTGGTACCTTAACGAGAGAGGGCTATGTGCGCGGAAAAGTTCCACACCTGCGGTGGTCCCAGGCGCCGCCCCGGCCTTGGCGAAGGCCGGGGTCGGCGGATTTTTTTTGTGTCACATCTTTGCAGCTTTGCCATTTGGCCTCTTCAACTTGAGTTGGTTGCCATGCTAATGATATTTTGATTTTGCCAACTTTGGGCATGGCGCCCCAAACCCCTATATTATTGAAGATCGAACATCAAATATCTCAAAATATTCCAACATATCCTAGATTGTGGCACAATTGGATGCCCAATATATCCCCACAGGGTCTCAACATCATGATTTTTTTGTGGTTTCAGGTGACACGGTGGACGAAGATGGCGTGAGTGCCTTGATGATGGCCGCCTCCGAAGGTGGAGCTGAGGCATGTGAGGTGCGCGTTGGCCACTGTAAAATGGGGATGAAGGGATGTGTTGATCCACCAGCTATTTTGATGTGAACAAAAGATGGGTATTGACCCCAAACAATTGGGGCAATGGATTTTCTGGTGCTGCCAAGAACGGCCAAACTGGGTACAGATTTGTGCTGGCAAGGTCCTTCTGAAAGGCGGTGCGGCAGTCAACCATGCCGAGCGCAAGAACAAAAGGAGCCTTTCTGCATCCCGAGGGATTTTGAGGGTAGTCCTGGCACGGCCACACCACCCTCAGGTGAAACGCTGGAGAGGGGGTTGCCAGGGTTTAGGAATTGATGCTGGGTTTCTAGTCCTAATCCTTTACAAAGAATTGCTGCAGGTCTCACTGCGAAGTCAGCAAATGCAAAGGCTCCCACGGGGAATACACAAGCAAACAGAGATTCGGCACCAAGCAACAGGACGGCCCTGATGTGTGCTGCTCAGGGAGGACACCTAGAAGCAGTCAGGGACCCTCAGTGCGAAATCGGGGGGATTCACTGTGAGCTCAGGTTTTCCCAAGGACCTGATTTTTTGCTTCACAGCTTCACCCTTAAAGCACGCCTTGAAGAATTTCCCATCTGAAAATGATGACTCAGTGCACCAGTTCTGAGAAGGACAATTCTGGATGATTCCACTCTTGGACCTTCGAGTGACAATTCTGTGATACTTCCAATAAGATTTGGTTTTGGCTAGATTCCATTGTATCCGTCTAAAATGGTTAGTTGTCAAATATAAACATCTATTTTTGCTGGCCGACCCATTTTCAATCAATGATGCCCATAAAATGGCCCCATGTTTTCTTTGATTGTTATCAACCCCCAGTATGTCCCATAAATGTTCCTGTGCTGGTGTCAGGTGAAGACTTTGTTAGCAGCAAAGGCTGACACTACACAGGTCGACAGCGAAACGCAGACAGCCTTGCACTGGGCAGTGGGAAGCACTCAGTGGAGATGGGGACCTTTGGGCCAACTCGCTTGAATATAGATCCCAAGTTGCTGATGCTGATGCTGATGCTGCTGTTGCTGCTGTTGCTGCTGTTGTTGTTATTATTATTATTATTGTTGTTTTTCTTGTTCAATACCTACCAATAATAACAACAACCAGGAACATGGATTGAATTGGAATTTTGCACAATCAGCGCTGTGGCATGGTCACTATGCATCCAGCAACCGGAGAAAAACAGTAGCCCTCGGTCCACCCAATGGCACCTTCATCCTACAAAGTCTGACTAGAGGATAGTTCAGGTTGGTTTGTCATAAGACGTTTTTTGGGGGGTATCCCCCATTTTTAGACGCACACACACACACACAGATTTTCTCTAGAAATTTGGGTTGAGGGGCATGGTTTAGATGTGAGTTCTGACTGCGGTTTCTCAAGCTGTGCTTCTTTAGGCAGTGGGTGGGCGTTTGGAGACGGCAAGACTGCTCGCCAGCCTCGGCCAGAAGACCGCGAAGAATGCGCAGGTGGATGGAACACAGGAGACTTTGGTCTGACTTCTCTTGGAGTAGGAAAGGCTCACGTTGGCCATATCTTTTTTGCGGCAGTTCAAGAGGTTGGCATTACAGGGGCTCTGAAGGCAACCTGTTAGTCATTCATTCTCAATCACTGTTAGTCATTTGCAGGGGAAAACACCTGCGGAAGTCGCGGAGACACTTGGTGGCAGCGTTACAGGAAACCACAGGTGAAAACTGTGTCCCACTGACAGCAGGTTCTCGTGTCCCAGTTCCATGGATTTCAGTGACAGTGGCCGAGGGCAATGAAACATGCCGAGACGGCAGCGGCTCTTCAATAGGTCTGGTGGAGTGTTTGATGGTTGGGACCAGCAGATACCAGTGCAAACTTGTTCCAAGATGAGTCGCTCTGCCCTGCAGGCCTTATATCTAGCACCTCAGACTCTGAGACACCTGCGGGAAGGCCTGCTCTTACTCTGATCAAGATCGCGAGTTAACTCGTTCTCATCCATCCAAATTCTTAAAAATTGATGTTCTTTAGACCTGCACTGGAACAGTACTGGAACCCGTTTCATTCTCGAGTTTCGCGTCACCTCAGAGTTGAGATCTATGAGACCCAGCGAGGGTGGACCACGGTCGAGCTTTTGAACGTTTCACAGGCAGTTGGACAGGTGAATGGTGAACCTGTCGGAGGGCCGTGTCCATGACTGACAGAGCCGTGCAATTCTTGCTTGGACTGGATAACTTCTAGCATTTCCAGCCAGCAGAACTGCAACAAACTATCAAGACATGACAAGATATCATGCAAAATGAATATCCATCAATTTCCCAAATGTCCCCACATAAAGATCCAGTTAGCCATCCAGCAGTATTTCTGGGTTTCGCGTTCTCCGTCAGCTTGTCGCTCGTGGATGGCTTTTGAACTTAGCGGCCCCGGAAGTTCACCCGCAACGGAAATGCCCGTTGACCAGGCCCAGGCAGATTCTCTAAACTCTAAAGACTTCACGAAAGGATTCAAAAAAAAAGGCCAGTTTCTGCGTTGGAACAGGAAGAATCAGAGATTCTCTCATCGGATTCACCGGATTGCTGGAGAGTCTGGCTGGGTCCTATCAGAGCTCTGCAGAGCAAGTCGTGCTTTGAAGCGGCTTCGCTTGGATTTCTTCAGCGGCGAGAAATTTCTGCAGCGTACTTTTCCCTGGTTTGATGAATTCAAGGCGATTTCAAACCAACATAGCCCAGTTCCTCCTTCAAAGCAATCCAGTCTCATTTTGAGTGATTCATCAGTGATACAGTGATTTGGGACTCTGAGGATCAGCAGTTGGAGTGACCATCGGACAAACTGATTCATTTTCATTAATCTTGATTCCACAAGATGGTGGATCAGACGCAAAGTAGCTGTGCAGCGACTCGGTCCTGTGATGCATAGAACCAGCTTGCCATAGATGCAACAGGCGACTCCATCCTGGCCACCAGAGAGAAGCCCAGCAGCCCAGCAAGCCAGCTGAACAACCAAAGCATGACCAACGAAACTCCAACACTTCTGGCCGGTGCAGCCTGCGGCATGGAACGGCCAGACTATGGAGACTATGGAAACAGTGAGGAGATGCCTGTGAACTTCATGGCTGATCCAAGACTGGCGCCCGAGGTTGTTTTCATGAATGTGGCTCCATCAAATTTGGAAACCTTAATGGAATTGGACATGAGAAGATGACCGAATGCATGAATGGTCATCAACATGGGTAGGGTTCTTGACCATCAGAATGGATTGAACCATAAGATTCTCAATTCCAGCGCTGGGCAGTCTGCGCTTCTCAGGAAGGTTGCTTTGCGAGTTGCACATTTTCAGGTTGTTGCATGGCAACGGTGATTACTCACAACAAAAACAATTTTCAGTGAAAAACCTGGATTCTTTAAACATTTTTTAACATTCCCACCTTGTGTGAAATTGGGCACTCCCTTTGTGAAATGGTGGCAGGACGGCCTTACTGTTGGCATCCAGGTTATCCAGCGTGCTTTTCAGAGGAAGGCCGTGCAGATCACATTGGACGAAGAATATGAATCTGACATAAGCTGACCATAGCAAAGGAAGAATATGAATAATTAAGGATGAATATGGCTATGGACCAATACCAATACAATTTCTTATTGGATGAACATCCATTTACCAGTTTGATGTTCACCGGTACCAGGTTTTGACCCATCCCCATATTGACCACAGCAGAAAGAAAGGAAGTGCAGGCATTACTATCACGAAAGACTCCGACGACTGTTGGATACACGACCAAGTAGCTGGGTACTTCTCCTATCACAGGTCATTTTTGGTTTCGAGGGATCTCCGCTGAGAGTCTGCCAGCCACTTTGATCTCCTGATTTTTCGTTTTTTTTTTTGTGCAGGTGAACAGCCTTGAGCAAGAGATCAAAAAGATGGAGCTCCATGGCTTCAATCATTCGACACATGCGACGTAATTGTTGATGTATTTCTCAAACAAGCTGGATCGATTTTTGATGATTTCTCCATGGTTGATGAATTGATATCAAGTTTGAGAAGAATCCAAGGCTCACCTGCGAGGAGACTGTGGTGACTGGGGTGGGTGGGTGGTTCAGATGTTGAAGAATATGTATATAAGGTGGGGATGACGATGATGACTGCTATTGATACTGTTTCTTTGTCTATTGTCATGATTATTGCTGCTGTTATTACATGACTTACTATCATCACTATTGTTTATTGTTATTATTGCTTCTAGTTGGTTTTTATTTATTATTTCTTTCTAGTATCATGGTCATTGTCATTGTCATCGTCATCACCATCACCATCACCATCATCATCATGATCATCATCATCACCATCACCATCACCATCACAAGCACAACAACGACGACGACGACGACAGCAGCAGCAGCAGCGACGACGACACCAAAAAGATGATATGATATTTTTAGTGATTGCCTAATAATTATATAATTATGCCAGTGGATGATATCTAACATAGTAATATAATCATTATCATTATTACAATCAAACCCGTCACAATAATCATCCTGTTTTCACGATCAGAATCATCATTGCTATTCTAGTCATGATTTCCAACGATAAAACATATTACAATCATTACTGTCATTATTGTTTCGATGATGATCCTGACAAATATGTTGACAGGAACACAGGGCCAGTGTGACAAACCTGGACCGGAAGACCTCTGCGTTGCAGGTGTGATCAGTGCTGGCTTGGCATGTTGCGCCATACGTTCAATCATGGTTCTGGAAAACTCAACGAAAGCCGGTTGCTTTTGAGTTGAGATCACCTGACCATGGAGTATTGAATCCGCGGTGATGGAGGTGGAGCTTGTCGAGTCCAAAGAGCGATGGGAACAGCTGCAGGATGAGGAGAAGGACCGAATTGCAATGCAGAAATGACGGACATGATGTGACTGGGATGTTTCAGATTGATCTGCCACATGCGCGTATGGAATCTACTGAAAGCGCTGGTCAGGAGCTGTACAAAACCTTGGGATCTTTGAAGAAGCAGATTCTGAGGCGGAAACCAGGGGAAAGAGGAGTAAAAATGAGTAAAAGACTTCAATCATGGTCAACCCAGTTGTGATAGGCGAATTTGTTGAATTCCGACATGTTGCTGCTTCCCAGATATCGCAGTGCCTATCTAAAGCATCAAGCAGCGCCATGCCAAAGGCTGGAAAGCCTCAAAGCTGCAGTGTTAAAGGAGATCCAGGAGAGCGTCGGCTCACCTTAAGCAAAGTTGCCAGCTGGTACCAGTTGGATTCACTGAGTGTTGGAACATCATCCAACATCATGATTTTCATGGAGAACTTTCATGAATTTTCTGGAAAACCACAACGAATTGCCATCTCAATGAGTGTTTCTCAGGATGACCAGCACAAAGAAGCCGAGCTGGGAGAGTTGAAGTCACTCATGAGTGATGAATACTTTAGGGTTGGAATCCCAGATGGCCACAGGTGTGGGCCCATGGGGTGTGGCACTGCCTGTCTTACCATGACACAGCTAGTGGCGTTTCAGAGTCCAAGACTTGTCGATGGTTCAGCGTGTCGGCCACATGGAATCTGTTGGAAGGGCACCATGCCGCTAACTGCGGGAGAGCTTGGTTATGGCCGCCCTGGCATTGCTTTCCGGGTGCAAACTTGGCACTTGGCATTCCCTTCGACATTTGGGTGTGTCTGAAAATAGTGTACGCCTAAACCCAATGGTTTTGCTGATCATTATCCCTATTAAATGGCTATTTCATTGGGAATATACCCTATTTTCAGACAAACCCATTTTGCTCTTCCAACATCTGTGCATTTCTGTGCCATTTTCCCATGGGATGTTCATCAATCCATTGGGAGAGGATTCCCAGCATGGCAATGGCCAGGTCCATCTCGTGAGGCGCCAAGGTTTTCACCTGTGACTTCGGGACCCCAGGCCTGGTGCCATGGAAACACCCAGTTTTTTGGGAGCGAACTCAGTGAACAGCCAAGTTTTAAAGCATGTTTGACCACTAAAACATACTAAAACATACTAAAACCCTAAAACCACGTGGTGCCAAATCTTGGGGAGTTTTGTGCGTCATCTTCCCGGCTACGTCCCCTTTCTGCGTAATGCCTTCGATCGATCATTTTGGGGGTATGACCATCCAAGTAATTATACCCCCATGGATCCCATCTATTTTGCTGCGAATCACAGGATCCCATGGTCTTGACCCATGCCCACATGCCAGCTTTGCTTCAACGTGATTCTACATACTGGTTCTTTTTTCAATCCCATTTATAATTTATAACCCGATTCGAATCATACAAGCGCATTCACAACCCCATTCAAAGATACACTCCAATTTGCGAGCCTATTTGTGATTCATAACAGCTGACTGAAATGGTGGAGTTGGTGGGTCAGAATCCCAGCAATCCTTTGAGGTCTTCCCCTCTGAACCTCGCACACAGGGCCCCCGTGCACCTGTGGCCCAACGCCCAGTGGTCCTTGTGGGGTGGGGTGTATCTTATGTTCATCACACATTGCAATGGAGTTTTCATGATATCGATTTATATCGATCTTTACATCGATTTATATCCATCTAGACCCCTTTCTATCTAGTTATAAAATCTTATAATGTCAACCCCGGATTAATAAACCATGGTTTATTAATTAGGGGGTACTCCTCCAATAGTCATAATCTAATACTTAAATGGTACCCTCCCAATCAAACAGCCTGGGGTTTATTAATCCAGGGTTGACATTAAACACTTTTCTGGCTGAAAGCGGGGGTCGTCCATTGCCCTGTTTGATCCCCAGGTAGTTCCGGCACCGGGAAATTGCTGCGGTACTGTGTCACTGTCCATTTCAGCGATGGTGGTTTTCTGCTTTCTATTGCGGATGTGTTGGGGATCCATGATGGACCTCAGGCTGCATCCCTGCCATCGTACGGTGGTCGAAGTGACGATGCCAGCATTGGCTCACGGCCACCGGTGGTGGATGGAAAGGCCTTTTTCAGGTGGGAGAGTTGGGGAAAGGATGCGCAGTCTACCACGTTGGCGTGACACCACTGCATTGCATGAATCGCAGATGATGTTAAGGATTATAAATTCACTGTGCTTCAGCGCAAGTCTTATGAGTTTCTGTAATTTCTTGTTTGAAGAGTTGTTTTGGCAGAGATTTTGTTGACAGGTTGGCGAGATCGCGGCTGCCCATTGAGGAATCGCAGCTAGGGTTTTGATTACGTCGGTTTGGACAATGCAGTTTGGATGGCGGGCTAAATCAATCAAGAGAGGCAAGACATATCAGTCGCTCATCCAACGTCCTGGTCTTCCTGCTGTTCATTGGTCGTTTCCTTTCCAAGAATTCCATTTTCCATCCCTATTTGGCTAGACGATGCCAACTTTCAACTGCACCAATCAGTTTCGCCAGGACTTTAACAAGTTCCTGGCCAGCATCAAGCGTCTCAACAACCAGCAGCAGACCCGCGAGGATTGGATGAGTGGCTCTGATCTGCAGAGAAGTCAACTGGCCGATGAGAGTTGGAATACCAAGAACGTGCCCTTACTCAGTCAGCAATCCAACTCTGCACAACTCTGCCGTTTCTCAAAGAGTCATCTCTCAACTTAGAAAATTTAGAAGCTAGGGACATGAAGAACTGGGGGGAATGCAGCTGCAACCCTTGCAACCGTTGCAACCTTGCAACCATCCAGTTCCCAATGGCGGCGCAGGATACCATGAAAGAGGCCAGCCGGATCTTCGGCCCCGAACGTGCTGATCTGCCAGACTCTTAGGCCCTTAGGCCAACACATCCCACAGGAGCTGGTTGGATTCAGCTACGAATAGCATGAAAACCATTGGAAAAACCACTGAAAACCGAAGGTTTCGAGATTTCGAAGCTCTGCTCACGCGCCACGGCATGTCTGGGAAACCCAGCAACTGGCGGTGGATCTAGTGGATGGACCCTGTGAAAAACCTACATCCAACCATCCAGTGGATTTCTGATGATCCCAAAGTTCAGTTCTAAATAGCTTTGTCTGAACATAAGGTACCCCCCAATTCACCCATGGATCAGAAAAGTCATTTTCCCGATTTTTTCCGAATGGCCATAAATGGGGTGTGAAAGCCACCATTTTCAGCCACATCGAAATGTTAAATGGCTTCTCAGCATCCAAAAGCATCCACGTCGCCAAGGTGAAAGGCACAAGTTCCCGGCCATCTTCAGGGGACTCTCTGACTCTCTGCGTTGCCGAACGGGTTGATGTTGCTGGAAAAGGTTGGATGAACAAGACCAACTATAGATGACATAAGTGACATCACAGTAGACCAAAGATCTACAGATGTTTTAAACAGCCAAACTTCACCAGGGCGTTTTCTTGAGCGTCTGGGCCAGTCTGGTGGAGCTTCCACCCAGCAGGGACAACAACTGGCTGCCACTGGTGCCATGATGTGCGATGTCAATGGAGCGGTCAATGGATTGGCCATGGCTGCCATGGCGAATTTTCTTGGAATCAATTGACCAAATTTGACCAATGGTTTTTCCATCGCACCATGTCTTTTTAGGGACCTGCATGGGATGTCAATGCAAAGCTTGCAGTTTCTGTAGCCTTCGCGCTCGAGTTTGCATATGGGCGTTTCTGACCATTGGTGGCTGGCTTGTATCTCATGGCAAGCATTTCTTCCTTCAACTGGCAAAAGCCGCACATAAGTTTTTCCTGTTGCATGAAACGCCCAAAAAAGGTCTGCCTCAAAAGCTATGCTTCAGGTTGAATCACATGGATCATAGATATGTAGAGATATACCTGGATGTTTGCTGGGATCTTTTGAGGCAAAACCATGCAAAACCATATATTTGGAACATTGCAAGATGCCAAGAACATGTTCAGCTTCACGTGCTGGGCTTTGATTGGTTTGCTAAAAGAAGTGGCTTGCATGCGGGTTCCATGATGGAGCCCAACCCGGGGAAAGCTGAGGCAAATCTGTAGAGAGATTGGAATGTTGTTTGAGTTGTGTACATGATACAAACGGATTGTCCGTGACCTCCCATAATGCAGTTGACCCCATGGATTCAAGCTTTGTAACCTGTCACCAACAAGTAGTGATGGCTCATCCTTGTTTCATACCTGGTTGAAGCACAACATGTAGCTGAAAGCCAGGATATTGGCCGCCGCGCCCTGATCCAGTCATGTATGCCATTGGCTGCAGCTGCAGAACGAAACAACATTGACTTTCCTAGATATGACCTTTTAACCCATGAGGGGGAAGCAGGCTCAGTAGAGCATCCAAGATCTTGACAGTTTCAGTCCAGAAGTGACAAACATGTTTTTCTACCTCAAAATCCATGAAAACCAGGAATGCAATACAAACAAAAACACCAGTTGGAAAGACATAGAGGACATTGTAAATTTTCAACCGCCAAAAAGATGGCACGATGGCGACGTCGGTGTTGCCCAGTGTCCTTGCGACGATGTCTTGAATTTTAGAGCGAATCAAACATCGTGTTGTAATGTGTTGTATAATAGTCTGGATGTAGATCCTCCCCACATGTTGAGAATCAGCTAAGCCCACCCTGCCACATTCTGCAGGCTTGCACCTTGCGGCCATGCAACTCGATCCAGGAAGATGCTTAGAGTTCAATCACTTGTGGCTGTCTGGAAAGTCTGGAAATCGGGTACATAGTTACCCTAAAATCCATCAACATCCATCAAACATCACCAGCATATATCAGCATAGTTTTCCCGATTAGAACCGCCTTTTTGGGGTACAGTATCCCTCACATAAACCCCCTTGGTGACTTGAGCCCTGCGTGATCACAGCCGTCAGGGCAGTTCCACCTGAGGCTACCCTTCGCGGCTGGTCAAACTGTGAGCTGCGCGACAGCTGGTCAAGGGTACCTTGGCGAGACCGCTGTCGAGAAGTCATACAAGCAGATCAGCATGATTTACAACTATACTATACGTAATTACGTATATGTTCATACATATAATATGTATATGTAGATGACATATTGACATATCTGATTGTCTACCTTGGATCAAACTACAGTATTTTCCCATTGCGGTCATGCCAACATCTGCACTAATTTGTCTGTTGCGTTGTCAGGGCCCGTCTTAGCCCAAGGTACAAAGATGCCATGGCCAAACCACCAGCGGTGCCCAACGGCGCCTTCCTGACTGATGCGCTTCAGTGTCAGACGCTGGGCAGAGAAGCTGTCGGAAACTCTTGCTGCTTGGGGAATGGGTCATTGTTTGACATCTAGGATGACCAGATGACCATCGAAATGAAGGGATGACATCGGATCATCCTCTGTAACCAGCTGGTGTGAAAAACCGGGTATCCCCCGAAGTTGATGGACACCATGGCCAATGTGAGATGGGCATCCAAGGGCGAGCTGTGCAAGCAATCCCACTTGCAGCCACTTCACATGGTGCCCTGCAAGCAGTGAGCGAGGACTTAGACTACTTGGACGGATGATGGTGGGAATCAGGCTATTTGGGTGCTGCTTGATCCGGCTGTCGCTTCCAACATTTTCCGGTGCACTTTTAAGTGGCAAAACATAAGTGAATGGAATGCTCAAGCTTTTCAGATGACGCTGTCATCGCAGTTCCAATCTTAGCTACAATCCTAGCTATTTCGGTTACAAAGAAACCAATCTGCCAAACCAGCCTTTCGTTTCCAGGGGTGGTTTGGCAGATTGGTTTCCTGGTGAGTCTTTCGGAGCTCCCAGCATGAGGTTCACAGACAGCCATGGCTGTTGGTTGGGATTTTCCAAAAGCGAGCTGGTTGCGGCGCCAAAGGCAGCCAGTGTTCATAGGGACGCTGAGAGGAGGGATCCCCCGTCAAGTCCAAACACACAGCTGTGATTGGTAAGATCTCGGTGGATTGTCCATGTTTCTGGATTTGAGTTCCTTGAACGATGCCGTTATGAAGATTTTTTTCGCGGAAGTCGTCCGGTGTGCTGTGCCATTTGCTTGACCTTCAGAAGCTTCTGACAAATGGAGTCTCTCAGAAACAAGGTCTTTCCAGGACAAAGCGCGCACACACACAGACACACACATGTATATATATAATATTATATATAAATATATATATATATTATATATTATATATATATTATATATTATATATATTATATATATATTATATATATATAATTGCACAGACGCAGATAAGCATACATATATTATGCTTATATATGTATGACGATTATGACGCATCGTCATAGCTATTCCCCAGTAGATTTCCAGTCGTCATTTCCCCCCGCTGTACCAGGCCATCTCCGGGCCTAAAATTTGCAAAGCGCCAGCCACGCCAGCACCGCTGCCAGAGCCGATGCCAATTGCAGGTGCAAAGATGGTGGCGGAATCACCAAATGCGGCAAGAATATGTGTATACACACACATAATATATATATATATAAATATGTATCACAAGAGTCTTGGCAAAAGTTAGACTTTGTATATGTTTGCTTATGTATGTATGTATATATATATATACATATATATAATATGCCAAGGTGAGGGTGAAACTGTGTAATCTTGGCAATTTGTTGTTGGGCGTTTGAAACGGCATCCAGAGATCGAGGATTGGGGCCATCACGTGACAGGGGATGGAGATGCAAGTGTCAGCACCCAGGCGCCCAAGGTGCGGGGTATATAGGTAGCAGATGGCATATGAAACAATTATGAATATCATCATGCACTTATATATATATACACACACATATATATATATATACACACGTATATATATATATATACGTATATATATATATATGTATATATGTATATATACATGTATATATATATACGTATATATGTATATATGTATATATATATATACGTATATATATATTTATATATGTATATATATATATACGTATATATGTATATACGTATATATATATATATTTATATTTATATATATATATATACACGCATATATGTATATATGTATATATACACAAAATGCATCAAAATACAAGGTGAGGCCCCAAAGTTATAAGTTGCTTCAGAAAGCCATTGACTACAAGTTATATTCCCCATGAACCCAAATGTTACAGTAACCAAGTTATAAGTGAATTTAGATGAATCTAGCCATCTAAGGGCGAATCTAGGGGGCCTCACCTTGTAGAATATGCATGGAACACAATTCATGTGGAGTTGCAGCTACAGAGAGCTCCCGGCAGTGTGAATGTCAGACGTTGAGAGCTAAAGGGCTGCTACACCAATTTGGCGACGTCGCCTTCGCCTTCTCCAACTGGCAGCAACGAAGATTTGTTGTTTCCAGCCTTGGAGCTAGCGGCGGACACATACCATTCGCAAGTTTCACTGTTTTGATGGCACTGTTCTTGTACAGTACCAAAGATGTATGAACCTACATATGAATCCGTATATGTACACATCATCCATACTTTGTACACACGCACGTGTATGTATATATATATAATTATATATATATAGATATATACATGCATATGTATATATATATATATATACATAATCACATACTTGACAAATGTCTGCACGCAGTAAATAGTCATCAATAGAAGATTCCTACTTGTACATCTGATATTACTACGGTGTACCGAAAATTTGAAGAATCATAGTTATACAACTGGCCATTGAGAGTTGCTGCTTGGCATTTTCAGAATCCAACCGATGATTTCTCCAGGCCTTTGCTCAAAACACTTCCAGAGGTGGTGCAAACATCTCGTGGATCTGGTGGGTTCTTGGTGCAGGCGCACTGATACCGGGGGGCTGGTGAAGTCGCTAGTGGGGTCGGGAGATAGCTAAGTTTCGTCTCCGATAAGAAAAAGGACAATAGTAGCATGCCGATAGCTTACCTAGACATGGTGATGTTGATGAACACAACTCTTGGGAATCCTGAGACCCAAAGAGAACTATAGGTGAGACTGGGTCATGACTTCAGGTGTCATCGTTCTGGTGGCGATCGCTGCCTGCGCTTTCGCCTTTGTCCCTTGGATGATTGATGTGTTCATCAAGTCGAAGCTTGCGACCTTGTGAATCTGATCATACTCAGCTTGTCGCCACGAAACATTGCGTTGGAAAATGCTCCAAATGGTTTGATGATGTTTGATGATTTGACGTGGGTCTTTCATGGTCTTTCGGCTTTGGCAATCCTACAAATCATCTGCAGGAGCACGTCCTTTGCGCTGAGGCTCAGGGCAAAAAGAAGCCCAAAGAGAGCGCTCGGAAGCGACACATGAGGTGCGACAACTGTGCCCTTAGAGCGGGCTTACTGAAGCAGTGCTTGGACTATGGAATGTTAATCCAATTATGGAGCCTTGGGAAAATGGATCTTCTTCTTCTTCTTATTACATTATCGATGTGTGGCATGGTGCAGTCTTGCAGCGGTTTGGACCAATGACTCATTGCAAGCACAGCAAAGGTGCAGTAGAGAAGTATGCCACACGCACACACACACAGACCAACTCCAGTAGATGTCTCATTTTATTGTAATAACATGTTTTTTTCTTCACAACAGAGACAGTTGTTTTCCTCTGCAAGCTTTTTGACGAGTCAGAGCAGGTTTTTCATCAGCTCCTCCCTAGGAGAACCCAAGGGATGGAGGAGGAAGCAGAGAACGACGCAGAGGCTATCGCTCCTTTCCAGACAGCTGTCGATCATACGTGGCTGTGAACCTTTCCCGACAAACCTCGCAGTGCTTTACAGTGCCTTGCAGTCCTTTGTTAGCGCTGTTTTGAACGCAAGGAGAGATCCAGAACATTTGCAGCATGTGAGCAATCCTTGGAAGAAATTGATCGGCAGGAGGCAGATGTCGAGAGACCCTTGATGCCTTGGGAGCAGCGGAAGTTGGAATCTCGTCCCAGTGGAAGCAAGAAGGGCTTCAAGGCCTGGAGTTTGGATCGATGTGGAGAAGCTATGCCTTGCCAAAGTGAGCTGTTTACTTGGCGTGGAAGCTGGATCTGGACCATCCTTTCTCTGGTAAGATCGGACTTCTTCTGTGAATTCATCCTGCATACAATAGAACAGGTGTGTGACCAACACAAGAACCCTTCAATGATGGCATAGAACTCTAGTTACTCTAGTTGCTTCCACAGATGGTCAGGCTCCAGATAGCTTTGTGCGGCTGCCGCTTACGGTGCCGGGGATCGGCACATGGGGTTGCGGCACAAGGGCCTGAGACCGTCATACCGTCAGCTTTGCGTTTCCCTGTCTTCATGCAGTGAAGTTTGTGTTGCAGATTCAGGGATTGGCAGTGGCAGGATATGCCAGCAGCTTCCAAAAGTCTGGGAAGATGGGAAAGGTCAGGGAAGGTCCAAGGCTCCAGGGCAGGTCCAAGACTATCTCAACAGGGGACGCGGCCGCCAGGCTCAGGCACCTGGCTTTGCACCTGGCTTTGCGCTGGGATCTCAGGGGGGTCAACCTGCACTTCATCGCATGATCCAATCCCTGTCTTGTTAAACCTGAGTTAAGCCGCCAATTTTGTTGGTAAGATGGACAAGATACGACAAAGTCAGCTTATTTTCTGGCAAACCCTCTATCATTGTTTGGTGAAACAGCAGATTGAAACATTCTCACTATAGATCTTTTGGAAGCTGCCAGCCTAGCCCCCAGCTGTTTGGGAACGTCTCCAGACATGAGGCCAGAGCGTGTCATGGAAGCAACGCAGCAGTGCCTTGATGCAGCAACAGGTCATCTACAGGGTTGTCGGTGAATAGCTGTGACCAGCTTCCCAACTCATTAAGTTTGCGATGTCCATCCCAGGACGTTTCAACGTCTTGTTTGTTCAAAACCATGGTAACTTTAGGTGGTTTAAATATGTTTGAATGGGATACAATCGGATACAACAGCCCCAGTTGTTCACCGCTGGATTTCGCGCATCCAAGATCCCCAAATCTCCAGCTCCACTAAGGCTACCAGGCTTTCCCACCAACCGCTATGTGGTGTCCTGATGGCCCTGGTGCAAAAACTGCTGAGAATGCACGCAAGAATGCAAGAATACTAAGTGTCAATGACTGTGTTTTTCCAGTCATTGAAACCCTCCATATTTTTGCTATGTCTCTTGAAAACCGTGCAGAACAATTCCTCGCGACGTCCAGAAAGACTGCCCAGCTAGCAAAGTCCTGCTGAAAGTTTCGTCCGCAGAAAAGTCCAGGCTGACGGGGCAGGGTTTGGCAAAGAGTTTCAGTGGCAAAGCAGTTTCAGTTTCGAAACACATTCCAACAAGTGGGTATGGGTCAATACCTATAGATACATTTTTAGTGGGATGAACATCCATTTACCAGCTATTTTGGGGTTCACTAGGTACCTGGGTTTTGACCCATCCCCACATTCCAACAAGTCTTTAGCGACAAAGCAGGCTGCATTTGCACCATGAAATCATTGGGGGCCAGCATGGCACAATCACGGGCTCTGTAAATGCTCCAATCATTTTACCAACCACTTTCATCACAGTTCTACGTCCCAGTACCAAACACATTGCCCAAGGCCCTGGGAGGCAGTGCCGCTGATATCGCAGCCTTCAAGTTCCAAAGTTGGACAACCATTAATATTGCAAAATTATAAACTCAAGTAGAAACTGGCAGAAAACAAGAGGTCTTGGTGCAGGTGTGTTTGTTCTTTTAGAGTAGGAACTTGCTTCAAGTTCTGTTTCAAGGACTGCACACTTGCCGATCAGGCCTTTAATGCTTTGTTCCGCGAGCGATTTCGGAACTTTGATGGTACCATGCAGTCATTCTATCCTCCTCGTGGACAGCGACAGAGTGCAGGCACTGCAGAAGTTAGGAGGAGGATCTGTTGGCGATGTAATGTGTCTGTATTTATTATACCTGAAATATACATTATGAGACAAAGGATTTTCATGTAAATACAAACAACACTGTTATAGGTATATTATATACATGAAATTACCTTTCGAGAAAATACATTCAATACAGTCCGCTTGTCTCCACACAACCAAGTCCGACCCCACCCGAATCATGACTTGAGCAGTGTCTTGGACAGGTTGATCAGGCAGATTGCACCAGCAGCACGGGAGTTTCCGCCTCAAATCTTGACCCCATTTGCCTCGTCGCCAGTTGCCAGGGGGCGAAAAGAAAGATACAGCCGCGCGGTCCTCTGATCCAGAAAATGTATGGCGAGCAGTGACCTTGGCAAAGTGTTGCTCTGGGAGAATGATTAGTGCCACATGTGTCTGTGGTGCCCAAATACACCTCTGGCAGTTTCACCAGCGCCAGGCGTGCTTGATTCCCGAGGGGTGCGCAGGGCCGGGGGGTCGGGATCATCAAGATCTGGATTCCTTCGGCTTGAAACTGGGTGGAGTTTGGCATGGCAAGGATCACAAGATGGAAGCCAAATTTACTGAAGCTAACTTCACTTGCACCTCGCTGGTTCGCAATCCAATCTTAGATGTCCTTGAGCTTCCTAGCAGCTTTCAGATCCCAATCAATTTTAATGCCATGCAGAAAGAGGGTTCCGACATGAGTCTCCAGTTCTACATGTTACTTCATGCCCAGCTTTTGAATGTCCAAGAATTACCTAGCATCCAGGCATCCAACAAGATCTTAGCTTGGAAATCGGCTGTGTCTTCATCCACATACTCTGTCTTCGAAGTGCAAGGTCTGTAGCACTGCAGCACTTGAATCGACGTTTCCAAGCATTGCCATGTCATGTCAACACTTTCTTGCAGCCATGACCGGATGAGCATTGCATCGCCCATATGGATGAAGGGGAAGAGGAGGCATGGATAGTGGTTGCTCTCCTTGGTGAAGCGAAGATCAAGTGATTGGGGTGTGTTTTCTCAAGTCGTGTTGGAATGAAAGCATCGTTAGTTTTCTCTGATCCACAAGTTTCGGGAATGCATAAGACCAGGGCTTGCTGATTTCTATGATCAACACTTAGAGTTTCCTTCAGGATATCTTCGCGTGGCCAAGACCTGGGGAAATAATACAACCACAGGTTCTTTTCCTGTCCGTACGAATTGGTAGACTCTCCGGCTTCCAATGTTCCGCTGGTCTCACTTCAGTTTTATCTTGTTTCCAACCAATTCTTTCTGATCGTATCCTCATTGCCGGGATCTATTTATGCAAGTTTTCAAGCGGTGTTTTCCGATATTTTGCCAGTGCATACAGTCCTACTACTGTTCAGTGGCTAAACATTCACTTTTAGTTTTTAGAGATGTTGTTCATTTCTATCAAGCTATCTCCACATTCTTATACTGGTCGTAAATCCGATTTCATCCAGGTTTGTTAGTTGAATTCCAAGATTTTCACCACTTTGAAACTGGTCATTGAACCCAATTTTCAAACATTCTATCAAGGTTCATTGGTAGTACGACTCCATATTTTTTCCGTTGATTTCCATAAAAAATCACAAGCATGCATACATTTTCCATAAAACGGCCTTAAAATCCATCGATTTCCATAGATTTTCAGAATCCAACAGCACCAGGACAGCGGCCTGGTCCTGCTCCGTGAGCCTCGGCGGCGGCTGGGAGGCAGGCGCCCAACGCGCGCAGCGGCGCCGAGTAGGGTGGGAAGGGCTCGAAGTCCGCGACGGCGGCCTGGCAGATTTTTGTTGGAGACTGCCACTGTTGACAAAATGAATCTCAACTCAAAATCTTCACAGGACCTCAGGATATTTGTGAATTGATTTCTTTGAAATCTATCTAAATCTAATTTATAGAATTTTATAGATACAGATTTCACTTGATCCACCCCATCGCTGAGGTTGGCCCCCGAGCCGCGCCCAGCCTGGCAATCCCGGGGTGAGCCGGCGCCAGAGCCCCCTGCCGGGCCGGAGGATGAGAACTTGGAGCGACTGGTGGAAGGAGTGGAAGGAGTGGAAGGAATGGAAGGAATGGAAGGAATGGAAGGTTGGATCTCACCCAGATCCGACAGATCTTTAGGTCCAAAGATGACCAAAGGAACAGCTCTGGGACCTTTGACAGGCACCACCTTGGTAGATTTGATTGATCGCGGGACTTATGGCATGGGCCCTTCGGGGCGCCGTGCACGTTCGGTGCAGCGGTCTGATTCGCTGCCGCCGCGGCCGTGGGATCAGGGCACCCGCGCCAGCCTCGAGCAGGCACGTGCTGGAGCGCTGCGAAGCAAAAGCTTGAGGCCAGAGCGGCCACAGAGGCCAGAGAGGCCGAAGGATCAAAATGATCCCTGGGCAGCTTATTTTGGAGAAAGCGATGGGTTGGATGTCCCAGTTTGGGGGCAGCTTCCATTTCGTTTGCATCGAAGGCAACATGGGGTGGTCAGGGAGAGTGAGGCAGAACTGACCACTGGACACATCCCAGTTCTTCGAGATGAATCCATAGATTCACTACTGGGTGGTCCTGATGGTGTCGATGGCTATTATGCCGATGGCACTTTTGGACGAGGTGGATTTGGACTGATTTGAGTGGGATGGAAGTCATCCAAGCTTAAAGTCATTTTCAAACCAGTTCTATATTCACTTTGTTCTTATTGGTTCAGTAACATCATTTCCATGTGCAAAATCTATGAACATCTCAAGGCATTGCAAAAATTGCATACATTTGCAACAGCTTCATCGATGGACACTTCGGACTATCTTCAATATGATGTTCCATGATGTTCCCATATACCCTCTGGTAAACTAACAGTTTGCTATAGAACATCACCATTTTATAGCTAGCTAAACCATCTATTTCTATGGGGAAATCACCATTTTTAATGGGAAAATCCACTATAAATGGCCATTTTCAATAGCAAACTCTTATAGTTTACCGGAGGGTATCCCCCTGGCAGGCGGCCACTCGACTGAGATCCTGAGACGTTTGTCGAAGGACGGCCGGCTCTGGGCCTTTGACTTAGATCCCAACGCGGTCGCAGTGGGGCAGAGATTGGAAGCCTTGGAGCCGCGCTTCAAAATGATCCATCGACCCTTTGCTGATGTCCATGTCACCTGGCGGATTTTCATAGATTTTCATAGATTTTCATAGATTTTCATAGATTTTCATCAATGGTGCAGGAAAACCCCATTTTTTTTGGGTGGCATTTTGGGGCTGGGTTTTCTAGTTTTCTGGGTTGTGATCCCTCGCGACCATGTTTCTGGCACCTGAAATGGTGAAATCCACCGCGGTTTTTGGAAGGTGAGCTTGCCATCTGATGTGGAGTTGTCTGGGATGCTCCTGGATATTGGCTTCTCCAGCCCACAGGCCATGGGTTCATGGGTTTCCTTGCAAATGGGCTACGTATCTATGAAGGATCTACAGGTGACTTCGGGAACAAGTTTGATGGGATGTACAGTATGGCCATTGATTAACTTGAGTGTGACCAGGGTTTGTAGATATGTACAGTTGGATTGCTTGCTTCGTTGTTGGGCAACTTTTCACAGTTGCGAGAAATGGGTCACTGACCCAGTTTGCTCGACTACCTCTAGACTAAAACGTCATAAACAGGTGTAGTGGTTGCAGGTCCGAATAATCCGGAACCAACTGCAGCATGCTTCTGGGTGCCCCAAACCCGTCCCTCAGAATCTTTACAAAATCTTCCCAGAGACGTGGAGCATTTGCACCTCGCAAGGTGGATGACGGCGACCGTGGATGGAGCTGCTATCAGGACTGATGTCCTTCTATCGGAGGTTGAGCAAACCATAGCCAAGCCAATTCCTTAGGGTCCTGCAAACAGACATCTGTTGCTCCATCTTTGCAGTGTTTGTTCAAATTGAGAAGTCACTACAGCACGAATTTTGCACTACATAGATTTTGACCTAACCACGCCAGGACGGCCCGTTGGATTTGCGAATGAACTTCAAGGCAGGCATTCCAGCATGGAAGTGGCTGCAGACCACTACCCCTGGAGAACTGGCTTCGGTGATCTACGAGAATGGCGAGGCAGGGTGCTGCATGGCACTTGACACCCTGCAAGAAACTTCCGCAGCCAACCAGGATGATGATCCGGTGATGTGTCATCGCATTGCCGAAGCTGCCTTGGAACGTCAAAGACGCCTAGGTGCCTGGGCCTGTGATGGCCTGTGATGGCCTGTGGAAGTATGGGCCGTATGGGACCTCAAATTGGCGCTTCCCTGCCATGGGCCCACTATCCTGCCATGATTTGTTGGGGCATCGGCATCGGGGGACGATAGTGGGCCTGGATCAAAGGATCAAAACTGGGAGGTCCGTACAAGTCCACGCTGGAGTTGGCCTCCTGTATCCAGGACGAGATAGGGAGGGGTGTGGTGCCGTTTCCTGCTCCCATTTTCACGAAGTTGTACTACTTGGGTCAAATCTCTCATTCTCTCACATACACACACACATACCCAAGGAAAACACCTTGAAACACCTTGATGTTTCCTCACTGCTTGTCATGTTGGCACATATTGCCCAAAGGACCCAAAAGTGGCAAGAGATGCGAATGGCCGAACGAGTGATGTGAGGGATCCACAGCCCCAAAATTCCCCAGGCAGTCCCTATGGCCCCATGACCCCTTCCATCTCAGGAGGTGAAGCGTGGCTTGGATGAACGTCGCCAGCACCCTGCAAAGTTGGCATTCCAAGGCATCCGGAACTTCATCAACCAGGCTGGGCTCGCCATCGCCGTGCATCAACCTGTTTGATGGGCGTTTGGAAACCTCGAGCGCGCGCACACACACACACTTCAACTCATGGACTCAAGATTGCTATATGTTGCTATCCTCATCTATACAGAAATATTTTCTAACCAACTACGATATGGTATGAAGACACCTGCGACTGCCACGGGTCAGAAAGATGGTGACGATGGTGTTGGTGAGTAAGATGAAGATAGCGACAACGATGATATATATATATATTTAAGGGCTAACGCCCCTCGTCGGCTCCGCCGGATTTCTCGGCCCTCCATTTCATCGCAGTGTGGGGGCTGGAAAGCTTTTGGATGGGGACCTGCTTCAGAAATATATTCCTTACGTTTTTTGGAAAAAAAAAAAGAACAGGAACTTTGTTGGAAATAGATGGCTTTTTTGGGGAGCAAGTGAGTGCCCGAAAGCTCCTGCCAAGGGTTTTTCCCGAAGAACTGCTGCCAATTTCAACTTGTGACTTCATGTCAAGACGCCTCTGTGCAAAGACTTCTCTGTGTAAAAGCTTTTGTGTGTAAAAGTTTCTGTGTGTAAAAACCACTTTGTGTAAAGACTTCTTTGTGTAAAAGCTTCTATGTGTGAAAGCTTCTCTGTGTGAAATGTCTGTGTAAAGATTTCACTGTGTGTAAAAGCTTCGGTGTGTAAAAACTCTCTGTGTAAAGTGTAAAGGCTTCTCTGTGTAAAAGCCTCTGTGTGTAAACGCGTCTGTGTGTGAAAGCTATATATCTGTGTAAAGACTTCTTTGTGTAACAGCTTCTGTGTGTAAAGGCTCCTAGACGTTTGTGTGCAAAAGCTCCTTGGAGTAAAGACTTCTCTGTGTAAAACCTTCTGTGTGTAAAAAGCTCCTTTGTGTAAAGACTTCTCTGTGTAAAAGCCCCTGTGTGTGTAAATGCTTTTGTGTGTAAAAGCTCCTCTGTGTAAAGGCTTCTCTGTGTAAAAAAAGCTTCTGTGTGCAAACACGTCTGTGTGTAAAAACCCTCTCTGTCAGGCCTTCTTCGTGTAAAAAGTTTTGTGTGAAAAAGCTCCTAGACGTTTGTGTGCAAAAGCTCCTTAGGGTAAAGACTTCTCTGTGTAAAACCTTCTGTGTGTAAAAAGCTCCTTTGTGTAAGGACTTCTCTGTGTAAAAGCCCCTGTGTGTGTAAAAGCTTGCTGTGTGTAAACGCTTTTGTGTGTAAAAGCTCCTCTGGCTGAAGGCTTCTCTGTGTAAAAGCTTTTGCGTGTAAAAGTTGCTGTGTGTAAAAACCACTTTGTGTAAAGACTTCTTTGTGTAAAAGCTTCTGTGTGTGAAAGCTTCTCTGTGTGAAAGCGCGTCTGTGTAAAGATTTCACTGTGTAAAATTCTCTGTGTAAACGCTTCTCTGTGTAAAAGATTCTGTGTGTAAACGCGTCTGTGAATGAAAGCTATATATCTGTGTAAAGACTTCTTCGTGGAACAGCTTCTGTGTGCAAAGGCTCCTAGACGTTTGTGTGCAAAAGCTCCTTAGAGTAAAGACTTCTCTGTGTAAAACCTTGCGGCCAGGTTTTGGCAAAAACGGCCGTTTCCCAATGATCCCAGAAGAGAAATTCAATAGCCGGCCGAGGGGCCGCCAAATGGCAGAAATTTGCTTCCAAAAGGCTCCCGGCCAGGATTTGGCCAAAAACGGCCGTTTCCCAATGATCCCAGAAGAGAAATTCAATAGCCGGCCGAGGGGCCGCCAAATGGCAGAAATTTGCTTCCAAAAGGCTCCCGGCCAGGATTTGGGCAAAAACGGCCGTTTCCCAATGATCCCAGAAGAGAAATTCAATAGCCGGCCGAGGGACCGCCAAATGGCAGAAATTTGCTTCCAAAAGGCTCCCGGCCAGGATTTGGCCAAAAACGGCCGTTTCCCAATGATCCCAGAAGAGAAATTCAATAGCCGGCCGAGGGGCCGCCAAATGGCAGAAATTTGCTTCCAAAAGGCTCCCGGCCAGGATTTGGCCAAAACCGGCCGTTTCCCAATGATCCCAGAAGAGAAATTCAATAGCCGGCCGAGGGACCGCCAAATGGCAGAAATTTGCTTCCAAAAGGCTCCCGGCCAGGATTTGGCCAAAAACGGCCGTTTCCCAATGATCCCAGAAGAGAAATTCAATAGCCGGCCGAGGGGCCGCCAAAAGGCCGAAATTTGCTTCCAAAAGGCTCCCGTGTGTAAAAAGCTCCTTTGTGTATAGACTTCTCTGTGTAAAAGCCCCTGTGTGTGTAAAAGCCTGCTGTGTGTAAATGCTTTTGTGTGTAAAAGCTCCTCTGTGTAAAGGCTTCTCTGTGTAAAAGCTTCTGTGTGCAAATGCGTCTGTGTGTAAAAACCCCTCTGTGTAAAGACGTCTTCGAGTAAAAAGTTCTGTGTGAAAAAGCTCCTAGACGTTTGTGTGCAAAAGCTCCTTGGAGTAAAGACTTCTCTGTGTAAAACCTTCTGTGTGTAAAAAGCTCCTTTGTGTAAGGACTTCTCTGTGTAAAAGCCCCTGTGTGTGTAAAAGCTTGCTGTGTGTAAACGCTTTTGTGTGTAAAAGCTCCTCTGTGTGAAGGCTTCTCTGTGTAAAAGCTTCTGTGTGCAAACGCGTCTGTGTGTAAAAAGCCCCTTAGAGTAAAGACTTCTCTGTGTAAAAGCTTCCGTGTGTAAAAAGCTCCTTTGTGTAAAGACTTCTCTGTGTAAAAGCCCCTGTGTGTGTAAAAGCTTGCTGTGTGCAAATGCTTTTGTGTAAAAGCTCCTCTGTGTAAAGGCTTCTCTGTGTAAAAGCTTCTGTGTGCAAATGCGTCTGTGTGTAAAAACCCCTCTGTGTAAAGACTTCTTCGCGTAAAAACTTCTGTGTGAAAAAGCACCTAGATATTTGTGTGCAAAAGCTCCCTAGAGTAAAGACTTCTCTGTGTAAAACCTTCTGTGTGTAAAAAGCTCCTTTGTGTAAAGACTTCTCTGTGTAAAAGCCCCTGTGTGTGTAAAAGCCTGCTGTGTGTAAATGCTTTTGTGTGTAAAAGCTCCTCTGTGTGAAGGCTTCTCTGTGTAAAATAAGCTTCTGTGTGCAAACGCGTCTGTGTGTAAAAACCCCTCTGTGTAAAGACTTCTTCGTGTAAAAGCTTCTGTGTGTAAAGGCTCCTAGACGTTTGTGTGCAAAAGCTCCTTAGAGTAAAGACTTCGCTGTGTAAAACCTTCTGTGCGTAAAAAGCTCCTTTGTGTAAAGACTTCTCTGTGTAAAAGCCCCTGTGTGTGTAAAAGCTTCTGTGCGACTCCTCCCTCCAGCTTTCTTTCGGGTCACGCTGTCGTCCAGTTTCAATCTGCAACATTCCCTGTGGATCCAATGTTGGGTCTATTTGCTGACATTTGCGGTAAACCTTGTTTTTTGACGTCCGTAGGCATTATTTGACATCCGTAGCCAAAATTTGGCAACATTTGCGGTAACCATAATTTTACCGTAAAATGCTGTGAGCACAAGCGAAAAGTGGCAGCTACCCTTAGAAGATGAGCGGTCAATCCTGAACAGATCACGGTTTATCACGGTTTATCACGTTTTGTCACGGTGTTTCCGACAAATGTCATAATTTTAAGTGGCAAAAAAGATAATTCATCACGATTTGTCACGATTTTGAACTGCATATGACCATGATCAACTCGCATGCGCATCTTACAAATAGAGGATGCCTGCGGTTTTTCTCGATTTCCGACAAAATCCGATGGATTTCCGACAGGTTCCGGCAAATGTAACCAAAATCAAGCGTTAACGGAGACGTAGCTGTATTTTGACTACATTTCTATTTTTGGTGTATTTAACGACATGGATCCTCAGGGATTGTTTCTTGTGGAAGAAGGCAAAGAACAGGTGAAAGCATCGCAGTTTTAAAAATTGAACATAAACAGCGCACAAAGTGTTGTAATTTACAGCATTTTGCGCTGTCAGATGGCAAGAACCCGCGTAAATACCACAGTTTTAGTCCCCGAAAGTGGCTAAAACACTGTTATTTACAGGGTTTCGTTCACGTCACGATCTTCGATTTTTTGGGAAACGCGTAAATACCAGCGTTTTTTCCGTTCATCAAGGCAAAAAATCGGTTCAGAAAGGGAAGAAAATGCTGTAATTTACAGGGGTTTGGCGCCGCCACGGGCAAAAAACTGCGTAAATACCAGCGTTTCGGCGTCCAAAAGTGGCCAAAACACCGCTATTTACAGTGTTTCGTGCCTTCCACGTTTTCTTGAAATTGCAAAAACACTGTGAATACCAGCAGTTTTTGCGATCAACACGCCAAAAATGCTGTAATTTACAGTGTTTTTTTGCTTGGCTTTCAAAAACACTGGTATTTGCGGTGTTTTGTGCATCTTGGGTCCAAAAAGTATTGGTATTTACAGCATTTTCTACGTTTTTGCATGGCCCCCGCAAAAGATGTTAAAACGCAAAAATGCTGTAATTTACAGCATTTTGTGACTTTCGAAAAGCGAAAAATCGTCCGAAAAATGTGTCAAAACGGCGCTTTTTCCGATTTTAGGTACCCTCAAAACGGGGGGGGGGGAATGCTCTTGGAGACGCTTATGAGCGACCCGGATTCCGGCCAAAAAGCTCTCCCCCACCCTCCTGAAGGATTTTTGGTGTTTTTCGGGGCCCGGCGTCGGAGGGTCGGCGGCTTGGGGCGCGCCTCACCTTAGAGCTCTAGTCGCTCTGGGACGCTCGTAGGGCAAGCCACTCGTGTGGAGCCGGCGGAGCCGAATTTTTGGGCTGACGCCCCTCGTCGGCTCCGCCGGACCACTCGGCCCTCCATTTCATCGCAGTGTGGGCGTGAAAGTTACTGAATGAGGACCTGCTTCAGAAATATATATTCCTTAGGTTTTTTGGAACATATTTGTTGGAATAGACGATTTTTTGGGGAGCAAGTGAGTTCCCGAAAGCTCCTGCGAAGGGTTTTTCCTAAAGAACTGCTGCCGATTTCAACTTGTTACTTCGTGTAAAGGCGCCTCTGTGCAAAGACTTC